CATTTGATTTTTAATGCTGAGGATTTTTCTGCGAGTTTTCAGCCCTTTAATTCCCTTTGCTTTATGTGATTTTTTTAGCGCTGAGGATTTTCCTGCGAGTTTTCAGCCCTTGAATTTATTTGGATTTCAGGGCTGAGGATTTTTCTGCGAGTTTTCAGCCCTTTCATTCCCTTTGATTTATTCGATTTTTAAAGCTGAGGATTTCCCTGCGAGTTTTCAGCCCTTTAAATCCTTTTCATTAATTTGATTTTTTAACGCTGAGGATTTCCCTGCCAGTTTTCATCCCTTGAATTTATTTGATTTTTAGTGCTGAGGACTTTTCTGCGAGTTTCCAGCCCTTGAATTTCCTTTGATTTATTTAATTTTGAGCGCTGAGGATTTTCAGCCCTTTAATTCCCTTTGGTTTATTTGGTTTTTAGGATTCTCAGCCCTTTAGGAGCCTTTGATTTTTTTATGTTTGTTTGTTTTTTCTTTTTTTGTTTTTAATGCAGAAAGGAAGAAAAGGCGCAGAGGGATCGGCCGCGCACGGACACCCTGAAAAAAAAACAGGGCACGGAGCTAAAAGGATAAAAATTGGATTTTTTTCCCCTTTTCCTCGGAGCCGCGGCGAGCGCGGCTTTATCCCGACCCCGCGGATGCTGCCCCGGGCAGGAATTTCCCTTTTTCACCCCAAAAATACCTTGGCTTCATTTATTACCATTTTTTCCCGAATTGTTTCTAAACCCGCGGGAAAATTTCCACCCCGAAAATGAGATCTTCCTTCTTTGCCGATTTCAGAGAAAATGTCAGTGTTTAAAGCAAGAACAAGGGGTTTATCTTAAAGGAAAAAAAACCTGAATTCTTCACCAGTTCCTCTCTCAATGACCGACATGAAAATTATCAAACGCCCTTATCAGTTTCCAGCCATTCTTTTATTATTTTCTCCACAGGATTCAATTAATATTTATCCCATCTGGAGCCTAAAAAAATCTCTGGAACAACTTTTTAAAAGTCTGGGATTTTACTGATTTATTTTTTTAAGAGCAATTGAATCGGAACCACCATCACAAAACACAAGGGGGGAAAAAAGAAAATCAAACCCGATCCAAACCCCAAAAGGGTTTGAAGAGGAGATAAAAAAAAATAAATTGGAACTACTCAAAGACTTCACGTTTGGAAATAATCAATGGCTGGAAAATTGGATTCTGGCTCTGGAAGTCAGCCCAGCTCCTCGCTCGCTGATTCTGGCAAGATTTCGGGAGGAAAAAAATCAAATCAAGGCCAACATTTTGGATCATTTTGATCTTTTATTTCTTTTTTTTCCCCCCTTTCTCTGCCAGGGGCAGCGCCGGCAGCTCGGGGCTCGCAGGTGCGGAAGTTTCGCTCCGCGGTGCCGAATTTGGGTTTTTCCAGCGCGTTTTTGGTGGATCCTTTGAACAAATCCTGGCAGGGGAACAGAGAGCCCGGCCCGGCTCCGCTCGGCCCCGCCCGGGAGGGGTTGGACACGGGGGTTTGTGGGATCCGGTTTGGGAGAGATTTTAGGTGGTTCCAGACCCGGGGGTTTTGTTGGATATGGTTTTTGGGAGAGATTTTGGGGGGTTCCAGATCCAGGGGGTTTTGTAGGATCCATCATCCATCCATCATCCATCCATCCATCCATCATCCATCCATCATCCATCCATCATCCATCCATCATCCATCCATCCATCCATCCATCATCCATCCATCATCCATCATCCATCCATCCATCATCCATCCATCCATCATCCATCATCCATCATCCATCCATCATCCATCCATCCATCCATCCATCCATCCATCATCCATCCATCCATCATCCATCATCCATCCATCCATCATCCATCATCCATCCATCATCCATCCATCCATCCATCATCCATCCATCCATCCATCCATCATCCATCCATCCATCCATCATCCATCCATCCATCCATCATCCATCCATCCATCCATCCATCATCCATCCATCCATCATCCATCCATCCATCCATCCATCCATCCATCCATCCATCCATCCATCCATCCCCCTGCTCCATGTGCCTCCCAGCGCAGAGGGGCAGGAGGGGAGTTGTGGTTTTGGGTGGAATCAGTTGGATTTTGTCCCTCTTACCCATAGACGCACCCTGGGGGATGTCCCTGTCCCTGTCCCTGTCCCTGTCCCTGTCCCTGTCCCTGTCCCTGTCCCTGTCCCACTCCACCAGAGAACTGGGAATGAACTGTGAATGAACCGGGAATGAACTGGGAATGAACTGTGAATGAACCGGGAACGAACTGGGAATGAACCGGGAACGAACTGGGAATGAACTGGGAATGAACTGGGAACGAACTGGGAATGAACTGGGAATGAACTGGGAACGAACTGGGAATGAACTGGGGCTAAACTGGGGCTGCGGAGTTCCTGAGTTCCTTCTCCTCCCTCTCCCACACCGCAGGGAACTGGGAATGGGATCGGGAGGGCAGCAGAGCCCCCCGAGCCCCCCGAGCCCCCCGAGCCCCCCGAGCCCCCCGAGCCCCCCGAGCCCCGGAGCCCCCCGAGCCCCCGGAGCCCCCCGAGCCCCCCGAGCCCCCCGAGCCCCCCGAGCCCCCGGAGCCCCCCGAGCCCCCCGAGCCCCCCGAGCCCCGGAGCCCCCCGAGCCCCCGGAGCCCCCCGAGCCCCCCGAGCCCCCCGAGCCCCCCGAGCCCCCCGAGCCCCCCGAGCCCCTCGAGCCCCCCGAGCCCCCGGAGCCCCCCGAGCCCCCCGAGCCCCCCGAGCCCCCCGAGCCCCCCGAGCCCTTGGAGCCCCCGGAGCCCCCCGAGCCCCCTGAGCCCCCCGAGCCCTTGGAGCCCCCGGAGCCCCCCGAGCCCCCCGAGCCCCCCGCGCCCCCGGAGCCCCCCGAGCCCCCCGAGCCCCCGGAGCCCCCCGAGCCCCCGGAGCCCCCCGAGCCCCCGGAGCCCCCGGAGCCCCCCGAGCCCCCCGAGCCTCGCCCGCCGCTCCCGGCGGGTCCCGGGGATCCCGTGGCCGCGGCCCGGCCGTGTCCCCTCCCGGTGCCGCCCCCGCCCTGCCCCTCCCCGGGCCGGGACAGGGAGCGGGGGACAAAGTCCGGCCCGTGTCGCCGCTCGGTCCCTTCCCCAGAGCGGGGCGGGAGCGGGGGACGCTCGGGAGTCTCCCCGGTCCCGCCTCGGGCTGCAGCCGGTGCCGGGGGCTCCGGGATTCCGGGGGTTCCGGGGGTTCCAGGGGTTCTGGGGATTCCAGGGTTTCTGGGGGCTCCGGGGAATCCGGGGGTTCCGGGGATTCCCTGGAGTCTGTCCCATTCCCAGTTCCCCATTCCCAATTCTCTGTTCCCAATTCCCAATTCCCGAGTCCCCGGAGTCTGTCCCGTTCCCAGTTCCCCATTCCCAGTTCCCAATTCTCTGTTCCCAGTTCCCAATTCCCAATTCCCCAGAGTCTGTCCCATTCCCCATTCCCCATTCCCCATTCCCCATTCCCATTCCCCATTCCCCAATTCCCATTCCCAATTCCCAATTCCCATTCCCATTCCCATTCCCATTCCCACTCCCACATTCCCATTCCCATCCCCTATTCCCACATTCTCATCCCCTATTTCCCATTCCCATTCCCATTCCCATTCCCATTCCCATTCCCCATTCCCATTCCCAATTCCCATTCCCACATTCCCATTCCCATTCCCATTCCCATTCCCCATTCCCATTCCCCATTCCCATTCCCATTCCCATTCCCATTCCCCATTCCCATTCCCATTCCCATTCCCATTCCCATTCCCAGTCCCAATTCCCAATTCCCATTCCCATTCCCCTCCTTTCCCTGCATATCCCTAAAAATCCCTGGAATTTCTCCTTTCTCCCTGCAAAAATCCCCATTGCCAGAACTCCGAATATTTTTATTTTGTTGTTTTTTTTGGAGCTGCTGTTTCCCGTGGATAAATAATATTTATTATTTATAATATTATTTATTATTATTTCTAGATTTTTACAAAACATTTTTATAACATTTATAATATTACTTATACATTGTATACGTTAATATTTATCATTATCTCTAGATTTTATTGTATTGTATGGATAACAATTATAATATTATTGATGTACTTTTTATGGTATTATTTATTTTTATACATTTATATTGTTTTACAACATTTATAATAGTATTTATATATATTTATATGTTATTATTTATAATTATTTATAGTATGTATATGTTATAATATTATTTATTATTTATATAAATATATATTATTTGTATAGCTTATTATTATTTAATATATTATTCATTATTGATATACTTATTATTTATTATTATATACAGTATTTATATATTATAATTTATTATTTCTACAACTATATATTATTTATATAGTTTATTTATTATTATTACAGTATTTATGAATTATAAAAGTATTACTATTTCTATAATTTAATCTATTATTTATGATTTGTTATTTATAACATTTATTATTTATGATACATATTTATAATAATATTTATTATTCATTATTCCCACAGAAAAATAATAATTTTACTTTTTCCCATCCCAATTTTTCCCAATTCCCCATTCCCACATTCCCGTTCCCGTTCTTTGGGCTCTGTCGCCCTCTGCCGGCCGAGCCGAAACATTCCCCGGAAAACGGGAACGCGCCGCGGGCCGGGAAATCCCAACCCCAAAAAACCCAACAATTTATTGCTATTGTCGTTATCGTTAGTAATTATCGATTACCGTTATTAGTTATTGATAACTGTAATATGAACAATACATTTATTTTTAATAATAAGTACTATAATTATAATAAAAATAAGAATTAAAAATTAAATTTAGGAATATAACCAATAAAATTTACCCTTTAACCCTTCACTTCTTTACCCCTTTACCCCTTAAATTTACCCTTTAACCCTTTCCCTGCCGGCGCTCCCTGAATGGGGGGGGCGGTTCCTTTCCCCCGCGCGGCGCCGCCCGATGACGTCACGCGCGGCCGGTCGGTGCCGTCGCGCGGCGCCGCTCGATGACGTCAGGCGCGGCGGCGGCGGCGGGGCCGGGATGCACCGGCGGGGGGTGGGGGCGGGGGCGATCGCCCGGAGGAAACTGACCGAGGTGACCGGACAGAGGGACGGGGGACAGGGACGGACAGAGGGACAGACTGTGGGATTGGGCCGGTTTGGGTTCCCGGGGTTTGGGGCTGTCCCGGTTTGGGGCTGTCCCGGTTTGGGGCTGTCCCGGGTTGGGGCTGTCCCGGTTTGGGGTTCCCTGGGTTTGGGGCTGTCCCGGTTTGGGGCTGTCCCGGTTTGGGATTCTCTGCCTTTGGGGCTGTCCCGGTTTGGGGCTGTCTCGGCCTCCCCGCCCTGATCCCGTCTCCCCCCAGGCCAAGTACAAGGAGCGAGGGACGGTCCTGGCCGAGGATCAGCTGGCCCAGGTGGGAATTCGCTCCCTGGGCGCGGGGTCCCTGTCCCTGTGTCACTGTCCCCATGTCCCTGTCCTGTCCCTGTCCCCATCCCTACATCCCCACATCCCTGTCCCCATCCCTGTCCTTGTCCCCACGTCCCTGCCATGTCCCCATCCCTTTCCCTTCCCTGTCCCTGTCCCTGTCCCCATCCCCACGTCCCTGCTCTGTCCCTGTCCCTGTCCTTGTCTCTGTCCCCACATCCCTGTCCCCACATCCCTGTCCCTGTCCCTGTCCCCATCCCTGTCCCTGTCCCACATCCCTATCCCTGTCCCTGTCCCCACGTCCCTGTCCCTGTCCCCAATGTCCCCGTCGGTGTCCCCCCGTGTCCCGCAGATGTCGCGGCAGCTGGAGACGTTCCGGACTCACCTCCAGGCCTTCGCCAGCCGCCACAAGCAGGAGATCCGCCGCAGCCCCGAGTTCCGCCTGCACTTCCAGCACATGTGCGCCGCCATCGGCGTGGACCCGCTGGCCTGTGAGGGGACAGGGGACGATGGGGACAGGGGGACAGCGGGGACACGGGGGACAATGGGGGGACATCCAGGGGACAGCAGGGACAATGGGGACAGGGGGGCACAGCAGTGGGGACAGCGGGAGGGCAGCAGGGGGAGTGGGGACAAACCCTAAACCTGTACCCAGACCCACCCCCAACCCCGTACCCCAATCCCCAATCCTTGTTCCCAGTCCCGTTCCCGTTCCCATTCCCAATCCCTGTTCCCGTGGGGCCGGGCTCGGGGTGCCCCGGCTGTCTCCGAGCCCCGTCCCTGCCCGCAGCTGGAAAAGGTTTCTGGGCTGAGCTGCTCGGGGTCGGAGATTTCTACTACGAGCTCGGGGTGCAGATCATCGAGGTGTGCCTGGCGCTGCGGCACCGCAACGGAGGTGGGCACCATCCCTGATCCAGGGATCCATCACTGATCCATGGATCCATCCCTGATCCATGGATCCACCATCCCTGATCCGGGGGCACGGCCCGGCACGGGGATCCAGCATTGATCCGGGGATCCGTCATTGATCTGGGGATCCATCCCTGATTTGGGGATCCATCATCCCTGTCCCATGGATCCACCGTCCCTGATCCAGGGGCATGGCCCGGCGCGGAGATCAGCGTCCCTGGTCTGGGGATCCATCATTGATCCAGGGATCTGTCCCTGATCCATGGATCCACCATCCCTGATCCATGGATCCATCCCTGATCCGGGGATCCATCACTGATCCGGGGATCCACCATCCCTGATCCGGGGGCACGGCCCGCACGGGGATCCATCACCGATCCGGGGATCCGTCACTGATCTGGGAATCCATCCTGATCCGGGGATCCACCCCTGATCCATGGATTCATCCCTGATCCATGGATCCATCACTGATCTGGGGATACGGCCCTGCACAGGGATCCACCATCCCTGATCCAGGGATCCATCCCTAACCCAGGGATCCACTCCTGACCCAGGGATCCCTAATGCCCCCAAAAATCCCATAAAATCCCATAAAACCCGCTGGCTGGGCCGGGCGGGGCGGGAATTCCCGGGAATTCCGTGGGGATTCCTGCAGGACAGTTCTGGGGCTCCCCGCAGGGCTGATCACGCTGGAGGAGCTGCAGCAGCAGGTGCTGAAGGGCCGCGGGAAGTTCGCGCAGGACGTCAGCGCGTGAGTGCGGCCGGATCCGGAATTCATCGGGAATTCCTCGGGAATCCCTTGGGATTTCGGGCCGGGATCGGGAGTTCCCCGGGAATCTTTTGGGATTGCAGCTGAGATCGGGAATTCCCCGGGAATTCCTCGGGATTGCAGCTGGGATTGGGAATTCCCCGGGAATCCCTTGGGATCTGCAGCTGCAGCTCAGGGATTGCTGAGATTGAGATTTTTTTCCCCTAAAAATCCAGTCCCACGAGGATTTTTCCCTCAAATCCAACCCCTGGAAGGATTTTTCCCTAAAATCCAACCCTGGAAGGATTTTTCCCTAAATCCAACCCTGTAAGGATTTTTCCCTAAATCCAAATCCTGGAAGGGTTTTTACCCTAAAAATCCAGTCCCACGATGATTTTCCCCTAAAATCCAACTCCGTGAGGATTTTTCCCCTACAAATCCAACCCCGTGAGGACTTTTCCCCTAAAATCCAGTCCCATGAGGATTTTTCCCCTAAAATCCAACCCTGTGAGGATTTTTCCCTAAAATCCAACCCCACGAGGATTTTCCCCTAAAATCCAACTCCTGGAAGGATTTTTCCCCTAAAAGCCAGCCCCACCAGGATTTTTCCCCTAAAATCCAACCCCGTGAGGATTTTTCCCCTAAAATCCAACCCCGCAAGGATTTTCCCCTAAAATCCAACCCCGTGAGGATTTTTCCCTAAAATCCAACCCCGTGAGGATTTTTCCCTAAAATCCAGCCCCACCAGGATTTTCCCCTGAAATCAGGGACGATCTGCTCCGGGCCATCAAGAAGCTGAAGGTTCTGGGCAGCGGCTTCGGGATCATCCCGGTGGGAGGAACGGTCCTGGTGCAGTCGGTGCCCGCCGAGCTCAACATGGACCACACGGTGCTGCTGCAGCTGGCAGAGGTGGGAACGCTGGGATTTACTGGGATTCACTGGGATTTACTGGGATTTACTGGGATTGGGAATGGGACATGGAGCACACGGTGCTGCTGCAGCTGGCAGAGGTGGGGACACTGGGATTTACTGGGATTGGGTATTGGGAATGGGAATGGATATTGGGAATGTGAATGGGGATTGGTAGGAATAACACCAGGAATGGGAACTGGGAATGGGGAATTGGTGGGAATGACACTGGGAAAAGGGGAATTTGTGGAATGACGGCTGGAAAAGGGCTGGGAGTGGGGAATTGGTGCTTCCAGGACTGGGAATTACGGTCGGATCAGGCTCGTGGGCAGAGCTGCCGAGGTGTGGATTTAAACCTGGATGGAAAACAGCCAGAAACCCCCTCGGTGTTCCCATAAAAAACCGGGATTGGGCTGGACTGGGGTGGGCTGGAGGGTCCCTGCTCCGCTGGGATTGGAGCCCAGATGGATTTTGGATTTTTCCTGGTTTTTTTTTCCCAGAAAAAGGGATTTGTGACAGTCAGCGAGATCCGGGACAGCCTCAACTGGGAGACGGAGCGAGCGAAGCAGGCGCTGGTAACTGGGAAACTGGGAATGGGGAACTGGGAATGGGGAACTGGGAATGGGGATGGGAATGGAAATGGGAAACTGGGAATGGGAAACTGGGAATGGGGAACTGGGAATGGGGAATGGGGAACTGGGAATGGGGAACTGGGAATGGGGAACTGGGAATGGGAAACTGGGAATGGGAAACTGGGAATGGGAAATTGGGGAACTGGGAATGGGGAACTGGGAATGGGGAACTGGGAACTGGGAATGGGAAACTGGGAATGGGGAACTGGGAATGGGAATGGGGAACTGGGAAATTTGGTGTGGGAGTGGGAAATTTGGGATAAGAATGAGGAATTTGGGATGGGAAAGTAGGAATGGGAAAGTGGGAATGGGATGTTAATGGGAACAGTAACGGCAACTCAGCACATCCCAGTCCATCCCAGTCCATCCCCAGTCATTCCCAGTCCATTCCTGTTCAGGAGCACCTGCTGAAGGAGGGCATGGCCTGGCTGGATCCCAGGCCCATTCCCGTTATTCCCAATCCCGTTATTCCCGTTATTCCAGGAGCACCTGCTGAAGGAGGGCATGGCCTGGCTGGACGCGCAGGCTCCGGCCGAGCCGCAGTTCTGGCTGCCCGCGCTCTTCTCCGAGCTCCACGCCCAGGACGGCGCCGCCGGGCCCTGACGGCGCCGGGAATCCTCGGGAATCATCCCTGGAATCCTCGGGAATCATCCCTGGAATCCTCGGGAATCATCCCTGGAATCTCGGCTGGAATCCCCGGGAATCCCCCCTGGAATCCTCGGGAATCATCCCTGGAATCCTCGGGAATCCCCCCTGGAATCTCGGCTGGAATCCCCGGGAATCCCCCCTGGAATCCTTGGGAATCCTAGCTGGAATCCTCGGGAATCTCCCCTGGAATCCCGGCTGGAATCCCCGGGAATCCCCCCTGGAATCCTTGGGAATCCTAGCTGGAATCCTCGGGAATCTCCCCTGGAATCCCCTCCGGAGTCCTTGGGAATCCCAGCTGGAATCCCGGCTGGAATCCTCAGGAATCTTCCCTGGAATCCTAGCTGGAATCTCCCCTGGAATCCCCTCTGGAATCTCCCCTGGAATCCCACCCTTGAAGCCCTCCTGGGATCCTTGGGAATCTCCCTCCTGGAGTCTTTGGGAATTCCTCCTGGAGTTCTCAAAATCCTGGCTGTGATCATTCCCAGGATCCTCAGGAATCCCTCCTCGAGCACTTGGGAATCTCAGATGGAATCCCCCCCGGGATCCTTGGGAATCCCTCTGGAATCCCCCCCGGGATCCTTGGGAATCCTTCCCGGGGACAGCGGGACTGGGAATAAAAACTTTTGTACCAAATTCCTGAGCTCGGGGGAGTTCTGTGGGATCGATCCCTGCTGGATTCCGGGTGGGAATGGAATTCTGGCTCTGGAATTTTGGCTCCCAGCAGCGGGAGGAAGTCGTTTTCCGTAAGAATTCCCACTAAGGAACAGCACAGGCTCCGTTCTGCCAAAACAAAACTTTATTGCACAAAGGAAAAAAACAAAAAAAAAAAGAAAAAAAAAGAAAATAGCCAAAAAACTGTGGGAAAAAAAAAAAAAGGAAAAAAATCCCGGAAAAAAACCCCAAAACAAGGAAAAAACCAAAACTTCTGTACAACAGAAAACCACCAGAGATCTCCGAGTGACTCGTGTGCATTTATTGTTCTCAGCTCCATTCCAGTCTCTAAAAATCCCTTTCCTAAAACGTCTCTGCCCAGGGCAGCGGCTGGGGGATTGTCACGGGAAGGGACGGGAATTCCCATCCCTGGAAAAGCTGGAAAAGCTGGAAAAGCTGCCCAGCCCCGCCCCAGGGGTGACAAAGGTGACAGCGAGGAGGTGGCACCGACCCCTTCACCTGCGGGTCCCCTCGAGGGTTAAATCCAAACCAGCCCCGGGGGTTGGGGTGGAGAAAGGGGAAACAATTCCCGAGATTTTGGGGAAAATTCCCCGTTTTCCGCCTCAGAAATTCCCTGTTTTCCACCTCAGAAATTCCCATTTATCAGCAAGGAAATTCCTCATTTTCCACCTCAGAATTTCACCGTTTTCCACCTCAGAATTTCCCATTTCCCAGCATGGAAATTCCTCATTTTCCACCTCAGAAATTTCCTGTTTTACACCTTAGAAATTCCCTGTTTTCCACCTCAGAAATTGCCATTTCTCAGCACAGAAATTCCTCATTTTCCACCTCAGAAATTCCCTCTTTTCCACCTCAGAAATTTCCCATTTCCCAGCAAGGAATTTCCCCATTTTCCACCTCAGAAATTGCCATTTATCCGCAAGGAAATTCCCCATTTCCCAGCATGGAAATTCCTCATTTTCCACCTCAGAAATTTCCTGTTTTACACCTCAGAATTTCCCCATTTTCCACCTCAGAAATTCCCTGTTTTCCACCTCAGAAATTCCCCGTTTTCCACCTCAGAAATTGCCGTTTCTCAGCAAGGAAATTCCCCATTGCCAAGCATGGAAATTCCTCATTTTCCACCACAGAAATTCCTTATTTTCCACCTCAGAAATTCCCCGTTTTCCACCACAGAATTTCCCCGTTTTTCACCTCAGACATTCCCATTTCCCAGCAAGGAAATTCCCTATTTTACACCTCAGAAATTCCCCGTTTTCCACCTCAGAAATTCCCCATTTTCCACCTCAGAAATTGCTATTTCTCAGCACAGAAATTCCCTGTTTTCCACCTCAGAAATTCCCCATTTTCCACCTCAGAAATTGCCATTTCTCAGCACAGAAATTCCTCATTTTCCACCTCAGAAATTTCCCATTTCCCAGCAAGGACTTTCCCCATTTTCCACCTCAGAAATTCCCCATTTTCTCAGCAAGGAAATTCCCCATTTCCCAGCATGGAAATTCCTCATTTTCCACCTCAGAAATTCCTTATTTTCCACCTCAGACATTCCCATTTCTCAGCAAGGAAATTCCCCATTTTCCACCTCAGAAATTCCCCATTTCCCAGCATGGAAATTCCTCATTTTCCACCTCAGAAATTTCCCATTTTACACCTTAGAATTTCCCCATTTTCCACCTCAGAATTTCCCTGTTTTCCACCTTAGAAATTCCCATTTCTCAGCAAGGAAATTCCCCATTTCCCAGCATGGAAATTCCTCATTTTCCACCTCAGAAATTGCCATTTCTCAGCACAGAAATTCCTCATTTTCCACCTCAGAAATTCCCTGTTTTCCACCTCAGAAATTTCCCATTTCCCAGCAAGGAATTTCCCCATTTTCCACCTCAGAAATTGCCATTTCTCAGCAAGGAAATTCCCCATTGCCAAGCATGGAAATTCCTCATTTTCCACCACAGAAATTCCTTATTTTCCACCTCAGAAATTCCCCGTTTTCCACCACAGAATTTCACCGTTTTCCACCTCAGAATTTCCCATTTCCCAGCATGGAAATTCCTCATTTTCCACCTCAGAAATTCCCCGTTTTCCACCTCAGAATTTCCCTGTTTTCCACCTCAGAAATTCCCCATTTTCCACCTCAGAAATTGCCATTTCTCAGCACGGAAATTCCTCGTTTTCCACCTCAGAAATTCCCTCTTTTCCACCTCAGAAATTTCCCATTTCCCAGCAAGGAATTTCCCCATTTTCCACCTCAGAAATTGCCATTTCTCAGCAAGGAAATTCCCCATTACCCAGCATGGAAATTCCTCGTTTTCCACCACAGAAATTCCGTATTTTCCACCTCAGAAATTCCCCGTTTTCCACCACAGAATTTCCCCATTTTTCACCTCAGACATTCCCATTTCTCAGCAAGGAAATTCCCCATTTTACACCTCAGAAATTCCCCGTTTTCCACCTCAGAAATTCCTGATTTTCCACCTCAGAAATTGCCATTTCTCAGCACAGAAATTCCCCATTTTCCACCACAGAAATTCCGTATTTTCCACCTCAGAAATTCCCCGTTTTCCACCACAGAATTTCCCCATTTTTCACCTCAGACATTCCCATTTCTCAGCAAGGAAATTCCCCATTTTACACCTCAGAAATTCCCCGTTTTCCACCTCAGAAATTCCTGATTTTCCACCTCAGAAATTGCCATTTCTCAGCACAGAAATTCCCCATTTTCCACCACAGAAATTCCGTATTTTCCACCTCAGAAATTCCCCGTTTTCCACCACAGAATTTCCCCATTTTTCACCTCAGACATTCCCATTTCTCAGCAAGGAAATTCCCCATTTTCCACCTCAGAAATTCTCCATTTTACACCTCAGAAATTGCCATTTCTCAGCAAGGAAATTCCCCATTTCCCAGCATGGAAATTCCCCATTTTCCACCTCAGAAATCGCCCATTCCCCTGTTCCTGCTGCTGCAATCCCGGGGGATTTGGGCTGGAATCATCCCAGGGGATTTGGGCTCCTGCTGCCCCTCGGGATGAGGATCCCGGGCTGGGAATTTCTCCCAGTTCCAGCAGGATCCAAACTGGGGCCAAACCGGTGGGGAGGGAAGCGGGGGGAGGACGAAATGTCCGATTTTTGTGTCCTGAACCAAGCGCCGAGCTCCTGCTGCCCCAAACTCTGCCCGGGGGGAACCTCTGAGTGTCACCAGTGCCACCAGTGCCACCTCTGCCACCAGTGCCACCAGTGCCACCAGTGCCACCAGTGCCACCTCTGCCACCAGTGCCACCAGTGCCACCTCTGCGTGTCACCCGCAGCTCAGAACCTGCTCCCGACACTCCCGGAGCTCCCAAAAAACGCGGAATTTTACAATTTGGCGAAGGAGTTTGTCCCAGAGTCCGGCCGGAATTGTCCCTCCTCCCTCCGGCGTCTCCGTGGGGTGGTGGCAGCGGGGAGGGGACACGGGGGACACAGAGAATTCCAGGTGAGGGAAAAGCCCCTCCCAAAAGGCCGAATCCGAACGGAGGCTGAGGGAAATAAACGCAAACGGATCCTGGAGCGCTCCCCTCCTCTCTGACCGACGCTCTCCTCCTCCTCCTCCCCTTCCCAAACCTCCAGCGTGAACAAATCCATGGATTCTGCAGTTCCCACTGGCCACATGAAGTCTCCAAAGTGCCCCAGGGCTCGAGTAAAGCTTTGGGGAAGGAGCCCCAGTTCCAGCAGTGAGAATTCCTTTATCTTTGGTCTGCCTAGAAGAAAGACACCAGGGAGGCCGCGGCTCTCCCAAATTCCACCTGGACACGGCTCTCCCAAATTCCACCTGGATCCCAAATTCCACCTGGACACGCCCGGCTCACCAGGCGCTCACTCCCACCGCTGCGGGCGAGGGCTCCCTCCCTGCCCAGGAGCACAAAAGCTCTCGGGGTTTTGCAGTCTGGAGCTCATTCTTTAGTCGAAAAAGAAAAAGCAAAACCGAGGAAAAAGAAAAAAAGAAAAAAAGAGAAACCCAAACAAAACAAAACAAAAAAAAACCCAACAAAACAAAAACAAGCAAACAAAAAAACCAAAAAAAAAAACCCAAAAAAACCCAAAAGCAACAACAACAAAAACCCCAAAAACGAAAAAAGGCAAAGCAAAAAAAAAAACCAACAAAAAACAAAAAAAAAAAAAAACCACAAAAACAAAAAAAAAACCCCAAAAACTAAAAAAAAACCTACAAAAAAAAAACAAACAAAAAACAAAAAAAACCCAAAAAACCCACAAAAAACCCAAAAAAACCCAAACAAATAAAACCCCAAAAAACCCCAAAGAAAACCCCCAAAACAACAACAACAAAAAAAAAACACAAAAAAACCACCAAAAAAACAGAAACCAAAAAAACCACCAAAAAACTGGGAAAAAATTTAAAAAAATTTTAAAAACCCCAAAAAAATACCCCCAGCAGTGTAGACGCTCTCCACAAACCCCAAAAACACGCTGATGCCGCATGCCGGGAGGTACCTTTGTCCGAGAGGAGGCTGTGCCGAGCCGGGCTGTGCCAGAGTTTGGGAATTCTCCTCGGGGATGCTCGGAGCGGCGGGAGGAGGAGGAGGAGGAGGCCGGCTAGGCGCGGGGGCAGCCCTGCGGCTCGGGCTCGGGCTCCGAGGAGCTGCTCTCCGAGTCCAGCTCGGCGCTGTCCTGCTGCTGCTGCCGCTCCCGCAGCCGCGCCCGCAGCGCCTGCAGCCGCCCCAGCAGCGCCTGGTAGTCAAAGTGCCCGCGCTTCTCCCCGAACGGGTCCTGGGGACGGAACCGGGTCAGAGCGGGGGGGGAACAAACACCGGCATCGGGGCGGCAGGAGGGGGGGATTGCACCGGGGAGGGGCCCGGAGCTGCCCCTGGAGGGAATCCTGGAACTCCTCCTGGAGAGGATCCTGGAATTGCCTTGGACAGCATCATGGAATTCCCCCTGGACAGGATCCTTCCCCTGGAGAGAATCCTGAAATTCCCCCTGGACAGGATCCTTGAATCTTTTCTGGACAGGACCCTGGAATTCCCCCTGGAGAGGATCCTTGAATTGCCCTGGACAGGTTCCTTCCCCTGGAGAGAATCCTGAAATTCCTCCTGGAGAGGATCCTGGAACTCCCCCTTGGTCGGGGATCCTTCCCCTGGAGAGAATCCTGGAATTCCTCCTGGACAGGATCCTGGAATTCCCCCTGGACGGGATCCTTCCCCTGGAGAGAATCCTGAAATTCCCCCTGGAGAGGATCCCTGAATTGCCCTGGACGGGATCCTGGAACTCCCCCTGGATGGGATCCTTCCCCTGGAGAGGATCCTGGAATTGCCCTGGACAGGATCCTTGAATATTTTCTGGACAGGATCCTTGAATTGAGGATCCTTGAATTGCCCTGGACAGGATCCTGGAATTCCCCCTGGACGAGATCCTTCCCCTGGAGAGAATCCTGAAACTCCTCCTGGAGAGGATCCTGAAAATCCCTCTGTCTCCCCAAATTCCCCCAGCTGTCCCCAGCTGTCCCCAGCCCCAGCTGTGCCCCCCAGCTGTCACCAGCTGTCCCCAGCTGTGCCCCACAGCTGTCCCCAGCCCCAGCCGTGACCCACAGCTGTCCCCCTGCTGTCCCCAGCCATGTCCCCTCACCTGCATGCTCTGGCCCTGCAGGTGCAGCCGCTCCTTGCACACGCCCTCGTAGAAGTCCAGGTACTCCATGAAGGATTTCTCCATCACACCCCTGGGGACACGGGAGGACACGGGGGAACACGGTCACCATGGCCCTGGGGACACTTGTGGGGCACCCGGGTCTTGCTGGCACGGCCTGGGCATCCCCTGGGGCAGCGGGGAGGGGACAGAGGGGACAGAGCCCCCCAGTGTCCCCGGTCCCCAGTCCCCTGGTGTCCCCAATGTCCCCATCCCCAGTGTCCCCAGCCCCCCCTGGATGTGTCCCCAGCACCCCTGGACGTGTCCCCACCCCCCTGGATGTGTCCCCAGCCCCCTTGGATGTGTCCCCAGCCCCCCTGGACATGTCCCCATCCCCCCTGGACGTGTCCCCAGCCCCCCTGGATGTGTCCCCAGCCCCCCAGAGCTGTCCCCACCCCCCTGGCAGTGTCCCCGTACCGGAGGGGCTCGGGGCAGGGACACTTTCCCTCCAGCATGTCGCACACGGCCACGCGGATGGTCTCGTGCCGGATGCACTCGTTGTAGTTCTTGCTGTCCCCGGGGTGCCGCTCCTGGGGACGGCGGCGTGAGGGCAGGGCCGGCCTGAGCCTGGCCTGAGCCAGGCCTGAGCCCGGCCTGAGCCCGGCCCGAGCAAGGCCTGAGCAAGGCCTGAGCCCGGCCTGAGCAAGGCCTGAGCCCGGCCTGAGCAAGGCCTGAGCCCGGCCTGAGCCTGGCCTGAGCAAGGCCTGAGCAAGGCCTGAGCCCGGCCTGAGCCCGGCCTGAGCAAGGCCTGAGCCAGGCCTGAGCAAGGCCTGAACCCGGCCTGAGCAAGGCCTGAGCAAGGCCTGAACCCGGCCTGAGCAAGGCCTGAGCCAGGCCTGAACCCGGCCTGAGCCAGGCTTGAGCCAGGCCTGAACCCGGCCTGAGCAAGGCCTGAGCAAGGCCTGAGCCCGGCCTGAGCCCGGCCTGAGCCAGGCCTGAGCCCGGCCTGAGCCAGGCCTGAGCAAGGCCTGAGCCCGGCCTGAGCCCGGCCTGAGCCAGGCCTGAGCCAGGCCTGAGCCCGGCCTGAGCAAGGCCTGAGCAAGGCCTGAGCAAGGCCTGAGCCCGGCCTGAGCAAGGCCTGAGCAAGGCCTGAGCCCGGCCTGAGCCAGGCCTGAGCAAGGCCTGAGCCCGGCCTGAGCAAGGCCTGAGCAAGGCCTGAGCCCGGCCTGAGCAAGGCCTGAGCCAGGCCTGAGCAAGGCCTGAGCCCGGCCTGAGCAAGGCCTGAGCAAGGCCTGAGCCCGGCCTGAGCAAGGCCTGAGCCAGGCCTGAGCAAGGCCTGAGCCCGGCCTGAGCCCGGCCTGAGCAAGGCCTGAGCAAGGCCTGAGCCCGGCCTGAGCCCGGCCTGAGCAAGGCCTGAGCCCGGCCTGAGCAAGGCCTGAGCAAGGCCTGAGCCCGGCCTGAGCCAGACCTGAGCAAGGCCCGAACAAGGCCCGAGCAAGGCCTGAGCAAGGCCTGAGCAGTGCAGAGCTGAACTCCCAAATAATTCCAGGCTGGGCTCCCAGTTAGTCCCAGGCTGGGCTCCCAGTTAGTCCCAGGCTGGGCTCCCAGTTAGTCCCAGGCTGGAGCTGTGGTTAGGCCCAGCCCGGCCCCCCGTTAGTCCCAGTCTGTAGCCCCGGTTAGTCCCAGTCTGTAACCCCGGTTAGTCCCAGTCTGTAGCGCCGGTTAGTCCCAGTCTGTAACCCCGGTTAGTCCCAGTCTGTAGCCCCGGTTAGGCCCAGCTCGGCCCCTGACCTGCTCGAAGCCGGGCTCGTTGTGGTAGGGGTTCTCGGTCATCAGGGACTGGATGGAGATCAGCACCGAGGAGATGCTCTGGGCCGGGCTCCAGGCCGGGCCTGTCCACGTGCTGGGCAGCAGGGCAATTAACACGGGAATTAGCAGCTCTTTAATTAACCACCAGCTCCACCCCCATCACATAATTCATTAATTAACCACCAGCACCGCCCCCATCACATAATTCATTAATTAACCACCAGCACCGCCCCCACCACAATAATTCATTAATTAACCAGCAGCACTGCTCCCCTCAACAGCAGAGCCCAAATACCTGGGGGAGCACAGCTGGGCCTGACCTGGGCCTGACCTGGGCCTGGCCCTGAGCTGGGCCTAAACTTGCCCTGGCACAGCCTAAACTCTCCCGTCCTGTCCGTGCTCAGCTGGCCCAGCCTTACGCCAGGCCCGAGATGCTGAGGCAGACTTTAGGCCCAGTTTACCCCTTAGGCCCATCTTACCCGAGGCTGCTGAGGCAGACCCCAGGCCCAGTTTAGCCCTAGGCCCATTTTACCCCTTAGGCCCAGTTTACCCCAGGATGCTGAGGCAGACCCCAGGCCCAGCTTACCCCTTAGGCCCGGCTTACCCCAGGATGCTGAGGCAGACCCTAAGCCCAGCTTACCCCAGGATGCTGAGGCAGACCCTAAGCCCAGCTTACCCCAGGATGCTGAGGCAGACCCTAAGCCCAGCTTACCCCAGGATGCTGAGGCAGACCCTAGGCCCGGCTTACCCCAGGATGCTGAGGCAGACCCTAGGCCCGGCTTACCCCAGGATGCTGAGGCAGACCTTGCCGTTGCGGTAGAAGTTGGGGTTGAAGCGCACGGTGTTGTTGCCCGTGGTCAGCAGCTTGACGCGGGGCGGGTGGATGGGGTAGTCCGGGGGGCAGCGGAACAGGAACAGGAAGAAGCCGCCCTCGTAGGGGGTGTCGAAGGGGCCCGTGATCAGCGCGTGGATCTGCGGGAACACCGGGACCTGCGGCACTCCCGGACCCCGCGGGGATCCCGGACCCTGCGGGGCTCCCGAACCCTGCGGGGATCCTGAACCCTCCAGGGCTCCCAAACCCTACGGCATTCCTGAAACCCGTGGGGCTGCCAAACCCTGCGGGGATCCTGAACCCTGCGGGGATCCCGAACCCTGCGGGGATCCTGACCCCTGCAGGGATCCCAAACCCTCCAGGGCTCCCAAACCCCCCGGGGATCCCGGACCCTGTGGGGATCCTGAACCCTGTGGGGATCCTGAACCCTGTGGGGATCCTGAACCCTGTGGGGATCCTGAACCCTGTGGCATTCCCCAACCCTGCGGCATTCCGGAATCCTGCGGGGATCCTGAACCCTTCAGGGCTCCCGAATCCTGTGGCATTCCCAAACCCTGTGGCATTCCCCAACCCTGCAGCGTTCCTGAATCCTGTGGGGTTCCCGAATTCCACAGAGCTCCCAAACACCACGGGGTTCCCAAATCCTGCAGGGCTCCCGAACCCTCCAGCATTCCCAAACCCTCTGGTGCTTCCGAATCCTGTGGGGCTCCGGAACCCTCCAGGGCTCCTGAATCCTCCAGCGTTCCCAAATCCTCTGGCATTCCCAAACCCTCCATGGCTCCAGCATTCCCAAACTCTCTGCCATTCTCAAACCCTCCAGCATTCCCAAACCCTCCATGGCTGCAGCATTCCCAGACCCTCTGGCATTCCCAGACATCTGGCGTTCCCAAACCCTCCATGGCTCCAGCATTCCCAAACCCCCCATGGCTGCAGAATTCCCAAACCCTCCGGCATTCCCAAACCCTCCGGCATTCCCAAACCCTCCATGGCTGCAGAATTCCCAAACCCTCCAGCATTCCCAAACTCTCTGCCATTCCCAAACCCTCTGGCGTTCCCAAACCCTCCATGGCTGCAGCATTCCCAAATCCTCTGCCATTCCCAAACCCTCGATGGCTGCAGCATTCCCAAACCCTCGATGGCTGCAGCATTCCCAAGCCCTCCGGCATTCCCAGACCCACTGGGCCCATCCCGCGGGAAGCCGGAGCCCCGCTGTTCCCTCTCCGGGACGATTCCAGCCGGGAAAGGCCCCGGATCCAGGAGGTGGGAGCAGGGGAGCCCCGAGCCCTCACCTTGGTCATGTCGTGGGGGTCGGGCACCACGAACATTCCCGGCGGCGGCTCCTTGTAAATGGACATGATATCCCTGGGAAAGGCAGCGGGATCAGCCGCGAGCCCGGCCCGGCGGGGTCGGAACCGGGAACCGGGACTGGAACTGGCGTTGGGAACCGGGAACTGGGGTTGGAACTGGGGTTGGGAACCGGGAACCGGGAACCGGGATTGGAACTGGGGTTTGGAACCGGGATTGGAACCGGGACTGGAACTGCCGTTGGGAACCGGGAACCGGGACTGGAACTGGTGTTGGGAACTGGGAACTGGGATTGGAACCGGGATTGGAACTGGCATCAGGAACTGGGATTGGAACCGGGGATTGGAACCGGGACTGGGAACCAGGATTGGAACAGGGAACTGGGATTGGAACTGGGGTTGGGAACCGGGAACTGGGATTTGGAACCGGGAACTGGGATTTGGAACCGGGATTGGGAACCGGGATTGGAACCGGGAACTGGGATTGGAACTGGGGTTTGGAACTGGGGCTGGAGCCGGAATTGGAACGGGATTGGAATGGGGATTGGGAACCAGGACTGGAACCGGGGATCAGAACCAGGATTTGGGAGGCTCGGGCCTGGCTCAGGGGAGCTCCGGGAACAGAGCCCCAAAAGGAGCCCAGGAATTCCAGAGCACTCCTGGAATTCTTGGGAATCCTGGCTGGGATCCCCCCGGAATCCTCAGGAATCCCCCCCCGGAATTTCACCACCTCCAGCACCAGGAATTCCAATAAAAATGAAAATCCAGCGAAATTCCCGCTGTGAACTCCCAGGGGAATTCCACAGGGACCCCAGGCTGGGAATTCCAGGGCTGGGCAGAACCCGGGACAGAGCAAAGTGTCCCTGCCCAAGGTCCCTCCCACCCCAAACCTGTCCCGGGACACCGGGAAGGACCGGGACCTGTCCCGGTGTCTGTCCCGGGTCACCGAGAGCTGTCCCCGTGTCTGTCCCGGGTCACCGGGAGGTGTCCCGGGGTCTGTCCCGGGTCACCGCGAAGGGCCAGGACCTGTCCTGGGTCTGTCCCGGGTCACCGGGACCTGTCCCCGTGTCTGTCCCGGGTCACCGGCAGGCCCCGCCGCTGTCCCCAGGCCCGTGCCCGGTGCGCGGGGCCGGGCCCGTTACCGGCCGCGGGGCCGAGCCGACCGCCGGGCCGCGCTCCGTGCCGGGCCGCGCTCTGCCGGTCCCGGTGCCGGTCCCGGTCCCGGTTCCGCCGCCGGTGCCGCCGCGCTCACCGCTTGATCCGCAGCAGGCAGGCCGCGCTGGGCCGCTCGCTGTCCCAGTCGCCGCTGACCGTGGGGTCCCAGAACGCCGAGTGCGTGAGCAGCGCGGCCCCCGCCGCCGCCGCCGCCGCCATCGGGGCGCCGCCGCTGCCGCCCGCCGCGCCGGTACCGGGCGCCGCGGCCGCGCCGAAACCCGCGGCCGCCCAGAGCTCGGCGGGGATGAAGACGCCGGGGGAGCCCGCGGCGCCGGGGGAGCCGCCGCCGCCGCCCGCCGGGAGCAGCGCGGCCGGGGCCGGGGCCGCGTCCTCCGCCGCGGGGCTCTCCGCCATGGCGGCTCGGCCCGCGCCGCTTCCGGGACTCCGCAGCACCGAGTCCCGCGGCCCGAGCGGCCCCGAGCGGCCCGAGCGGCCCCCGCGCCCCGCGGAGACACAGCGGGAGCGGCGCCCCCAGCGGCGGGGCGGAGACAGCGCCCCCTGGCGGGCCGGAGGGATGGCGGAGGCGGCGGAGGGAAAGGGGATTTGGGAAGGGAAGAATTTAGGAAAGAGGGAATTGGGAAAGAGTAGGGAAATTGGGAAAGAGGGGGTTTGGGGAGGGAAGAATTTGGGAAAGAGGGGGGAATTTGGGAAGAGGGAAAGTGGGAAAGAGGGGGTTTGGGGAGGAAAGAATTTGGGAAAGAGGGGGGAATTTGGGAAGAGGGAAAGTGGGAAAGAGGGGGTTTGGGGAGGAAAGAATTTGGAAAAGAGTAGGGAATTTGGGAAGAGGGAATTTGGGAAGAGGGAAATTGGGAAAGAGGGAAATTGGGAAAGAGGGAAATTGGGAAAGAGGGGGTTTGGGGAGGAAAGAGGGGATTTGGAGAAGGAAAGCGGGAATTTGGGAAGAGGGGATTTGGGGAGGAAAGTGGGGATTTGGGAAGGAAATACCCAACCGCTGCTCACCATGTCCCCAAGGGTCATCTGCCTGGGTGACACCAGGAATTCTGTATCCAGGGAATTCTGCATCCCAGGAATTCTGTATCCCATTTCCCAGGGATACCAGGAATTCTGTATCCCAGGAATTCTGTATCCCAGGAATTCTGTATCCCATTTCCCGGGAATCCTGCGTCCCGTTCCCAGCGGATAACTGTAACCCAGCCCGGGCATCGGCGCTGTTCCAGAACATTCCCACAGGGCTGTCCCTGTGCAGGGTGGCGCATTCCCGCCTGGAATCCAGGGAATTTCGGGAATTTCGGGAATTTCCCCTCTCCCCGGTCCCTGCTGTTTCCACAGCCAGCTGCCTCCAAACCTTGGAGTTCTGAGTTCTCCTCAGCCCCTTCGGGAATTCCACCCATCCGAATTCCCAGGAATGTCCCCAGACAGAGCCACAATTCCCCATGTCCCATTTCCCTGTGTCCCATTCCCAGGAATGTCCCCAGAAATGTCCCCAAATGGAGCCACCCATCCCCATTCCCATCCCTGTGTCCCATCCCTGTGTCCCATTCCCAATGTTCCATTCCCCATGTCCCATTTCCCCGTGTCCCATTCCCAGGAATGTCCCCAGGAATGTCCCCAAATGGAGCCACCCATCCCCATTCCCATCCCTGTGTCCCATTCCATGTCCCATTCCCAGGGATGTCCCCAAACAGAGCCACCATTCCCTGTGTCCCATTCCCTGTGTCCTAATCCCATTCCTTGTATCCCATTCCCATCTCCGTGTCCCAATTCCCATGTCCAATCCCATTCCCTGTGTCCCAATCCCATTCCCCATGTCCCATTCCCCATGTCCTCATCCCACTCTCCCACTCCGTGTGTCCCATTCCCATTCCCGTGTCCCATTCCCATCCCTGTGTCCCATTCCCATTCCCAGGAACACGCTCCCATTTCCAGGAAGATGCTCCCATTTCTGTGTCCCATTTCCATGTCCCATTCCCAGGAAGGTGCTCCCATTCCCATGTCCCATTTCCGTGTCCTAATCCCATTCCCAAACCCCGTGTCCCATTCCCATCCCCATTTCCCATTCCCGTGTCCCATTCCCAGGAATGTGCTCCCATTCCCTGTGTCCCACTCCCATCCCCGTGTCCCATCCCCGTGTCCCATTCCCAGGAATGTGCTCCCATCCCTGTGTCCCATTCCCATCCCCGTGTCCCATTCCCATGTCCTAATCCTATTCCCAATCCCCATGTCCCATTCCCATTCCCTGCGTCCCATCCCTGTGTCCTGTGTCCCATTCCCAGGAAGGTGCTCCAATCCCCATGTCCCATTCCCGTGTCCCATTCCCAGGAATGTGCTCCCATCCCCGTGTCCCATTCCCATCCCTGTGTCCCATTCCCATTCCCAGGAACACGCTCCCATTCCCAGGAAGGAGCTCTCATTCCTGTGTCCCATTCCCATTCCCCGTGTCCCATTCCTGTGTCCCATTCCCATTCCTGTGTCCCATTCCCATCCCCATGTCCCATGTCCTAATCCTATTCCCAATCCCTGTGTCCCATTCCCATTCCCTGTGTCCCATCCCTGTGTCCTGTGTCCCATTCCCAGGAAGGTGCTCCCATTCCCGTGTCCAATTCCCAATGTGCTCTCATTCCTGTGTCCCATTCCCAACCTCCGTGTCCCATTCCCATCCCCATGTCCCATTCCCTGTGTCCCATTCCCGTGTCCTAATCCCATTCCCAATCTCTGTGTCCCATTCCCATTCCCATGTACCATTCCCATGTCCCATTCCCATCCCCATGTCCCATTCCCGTGTCCTAATCCCATTCCCATCCCCGTGTCCCATTCCCATCCCCATGTCCCATTCCCGTGTCCTAATCCCATTCCCATCCCCGTGTCCCATTCCCATCCCCATGTCCCATTCCCTGTGTCCCATTCCCATCCCCGTGTCCCATTCCCAGGAAGGAGCTCTCATTCCTGTGTCCCATTTCCATGTCCCATTCCCAGGAAGGTGCTCCCATTTCCATGTCCCATTCCCGTGTCCCATTCCCAATCTCCGTGTCCCATTCCCATCCCCATTCCCATCCCCATTTCCCATTCCTGTGTCCCATTCCCATCCCCGTGTCCCACCCCCGTGTCCCATTCCCATTCCAGGAACGCGCTCCCATTCCCGGGAAGCTCGCAGCCGCTGCCGGAGGCTCCGGGCACCGGGCGCGGCCGCGTTAATTAATTTAATTACTTCCAGCAGGTAACGAGCCAAGCTCCCTCGAGGCTGCCTCTCCCGGAATCCCGGGATTCGGGCGGGATTCCGGAATTTCTCCCCCAGGCTTTCAGAGGGACGAGGCGTGGGGGGACAATCCCCTCAGCTCCGGGGTTTTGTGGGAATTCTGCTCCCGGGAGGGACGGGACAGCTCCGGCTCCGGGGTGGAATTCCCAGAGTTTGGGAATTCCCGGGAATGCGGGTGGGGATGGGCCTGGAATCCCAGGCAGGGACAATTCCCAGCGTGCTCCGAGCTGGCCCGGGACATTCCAGGGATGGGGCAGCCACGGATTCCCAGGAATTCTCCCCAATATCCGACCCCAACTTCCTCCCGTGGAGCTTTGCCTTCCCAGGGCCCAGTTTTGGGGGAATTTTTATAGATTTGAGTTGACTCCACCTTCATTTTCCTCTCTTCCCATTCCCATCCCACAGCCGGGATTTTCCACCCAGAATCTCCCCAGAAGGTGAAAAATAAAGGTAAAAAACCCCCAAAGCGGCGATTTCCGTAGAGAAATCCGTGGTTCCCTCTGGGAATTCCACCCCAGCCCCCAAAGGGAAAGAATTCTCTCCATATCCAACCCCAACCTCTTCTCACGGAGTTTTGTTTTCCCAAGGATCAGTTTTGGGGGGATTTTTGGAAGATTTGAGTTGACCCCACCTTTGTTTTCAATCCCAGAGCTGAGATTTTTCAACCCAGGCCAGAATCTGCCCCAGAAGGTGAAAAATAAAGGGCAAAAAAACCCCCAAAGCAGCGATTTCCGTAGGGAAATCCTTGGTTTCCTCTGGGAATTCCATCCCATCCCTCAGAGGGAAAGAATTCTCTCAATATCCAATCCCACCTTTGCTTTCCCAGGGCTCAGTTTTGGGGGATTTTTTTACAGATTTGAGTTGATTCCACCTTCATTTTCCTCTCTTCCCATTCCCATCCCACAGTCGGGATTTTCCACCCAGAATCTCCCCAGAATGTGAAAAATAAAGGTAAAAACGCCCAAAATCAGCGATTTCCGTAGAGAAATCCGTGGTTTCCTCTGGGAATTCCATCCCAGCCCCCAAAGGGAAAGAATTCTCTCCATATCCAACCCCAACCTCTTCTCACGGAGTTTTGTTTTCCCAAGGATCAGTTTTGGGGGGATTTTTGGAAGATTTGAGTTGACTCCACCTTTGTTTTCAATCCCAGAGCTGAGATTTTTCACCCAGGCCAGAATCTGCCCCAGAAGGTGAAAAATGAAGGTAAAAACAGCCAAAAGCAGCGATTTCTGTAGAGAAATCCGTGGTTTCCTGTGGGAATTCCATCCCAGCCCCTAATCCAACACCCAACCCCAACCTTTGCTTTCCCAGGGCCCAGATTTGGGGGTATTTTTGCAGATTTGACCCCGGGTTCCCATTCCCATCCCACAGCCAGGATTTTCCGGCCAGAATCCGCCCCAGAATGTGAAAAATAAAGGTAAAAACGCCCAAAAGCAGCGATTTCTGTCGAGAAATCCGTGGTTTCCTCTGGGAATCTCTCAAAACCCAAAACCCAACCTTTGCTTTCCCAAGGCTCAGATTTGGGGGGATTTTTGCAGATTTGACCTCGGATTCCCATTCCCATCCCACAGCCGGGATTTTCCACTGAGAATCTCCCCCAAAAGGTGAAAAATAAAGGTAAAAACCCCCAAAGCGGCGATTTCCGTAGAGAAATCCGTGGTTTCCTCTGGGAATCTCTCAAAACCCAACCCCAACCTTTGCTTTCCCAGGGCGGAGATTTGGGGGGATTTTTGCAGATTTGACCCCGGGTTCCCATTCCCATCCCACAGCCGGGATTTTCCGGCCACAATCCGCCCCAGAATGTGAACAATAAAGGTAAAAAGGCCCAAAAGCGGCGATTTCCGTGGGGAAATCCGCGGTTTACTGGCGGGAGAGGAGCGGGAGCCGTCACATGGCGAAGAGGATGAGGAATGCCACCATCAGACAGAAGAGCCCCATGGCCTCGGACAGCGCGAAGCCCAGGATGGCGTAGGAGAAGAGCTGCTGCTTCAGGGACGGGTTCCTGCCGGGAAACGGGAATGGGAATGGGAATGGGGCAGGGAATGGGGCAGGGAAATCGGGAATGGGGCAGGGAATGGGGCAGGGAAATCGGGAATGGGGCAGGGAAATCGGGAATGGGGCAGGGAAAATGGGAATGGGACTGGGAAATCGGGAATGGGGCAGGGAAATTGGGAATGGGGCAGGGAAAATGGGAATGGGACTGGGAAATCGGGAATGGGGCAGGGAAATTGGGAATGGGACAGGGAAATTGGGAATGGGACAGGGAATGGGGCAGGGAAATGGGGAATGGGGCAGGGAAATGGGGAATGGGGCAGGGAAATCGGGAATGGGGCAGGGAAAATGGGAATGGAGACTGGGAATGGGGAATGGGGCAGGGAAATAGGGAACGGAGACTGGGAATGGGGAATGGGACAGGGAAATCGGGAATGGAGACCGGGAAATCGGGAACGGAGACCGGGAACGGGGAATGGGGCAGGGAAATCAGGAATGGAGACCAGGAATTGGGAATGGGGCAGGGAAATCGGGAATAGAGACTGGGAAATTGGGAATAGAGACTGGGAAATTGGGAATAGAGACTGGGAAATTGGGAATGGAGACCGGGAAATCAGGAATGGAGACCGGGAACGGGAAATGGAGACTGGGAATGGGGAATGGGGCAGGGAACGGGGAATGAGGCAGGGAAATTGGGAATGGGATAGGGAATGGGGACTGGGAAATCGGGAATGGAGACCAGGAACGGGGAATGGAGACCAGGAACAGGACCTGGGGCAGGGAATGGCCCCAGATCCCGGGGAAAGGCCCCCGGGAATGCCCCAGATCCCCGGGAAGGAACGCCCCAGATCCCCGGGAACGCCCAGATCCCCGGGAACACCCAGATCCCAGGGAATGTCCCAAATCCAGGGAAAAGCTCCAGATCCCGGTCCCCGGCGGTGCCCACCTGGCGTAGCCGATGATGAGGCTCCCGAAGACGGTGCCGATCCCGGCCCCCGAGCCCGCCACGCCCACGGTGGCGGCGCCCGCCCCGATGAACTTGGCGGCCGTGTCGATGTCCCGGGACAGCGCCGTGGTCCGGAACGGCCGGGACGGCACCGGCAGCGACACCTGGGGACAGGGACAGGGACAGATCAGGGACACCTGGGGACAGGGACAGATCAGGGACAGCCAGGGACAGGGACAGGCAGGGATACCTGGGGACAGGGACAGATCAGGGACACCTGGGGACAGGGACAGCCAGGGACAGGGCAGGGACACGGATAGATCAGGGACATGGACAGATCAGGGACACCTGGGGACAGGGACACGGGGACAGCTCAGGGACACGGATAGATCAGGGACACCTGGGGACACGGACAGATCAGGGACATGGGGACAGTCAGGGACAGGGACAGACCAGGGACAGGGACAGACCAGGGACAGGGCAGGGACATCTGGGGACAGGGAGAGCTCAGGGACAGCCAGGGACACCTGGGGACACGGACAGATCAGGGACATGGGGACAGTGAGGGACAAGGACAGACCAGGGACAGGGCAGTGACACCGCAGGGCTGGCACCCAGCATGGGACGGGGGCGTTGTTCCTGATCAGCAGCATGAGGATGGAGACGAAGGGGTGGGATGAGGCAGGAATGAGGATAGGGATGAAAGATTGGGATGAGGCAGGAATGAGGATGGGGATGAAGGACAAAGGATCAGGATGGGGATGACACCCAAGCCCACCCGTCTCACCTGTGCGCTCTCCTCAGGCCTGCTGAACACAGCCACGGACACGGGCCTGGCCAGGGCCCTGGAGCAGCCGCGGAGCTGCAGGGACAGGGACAGGGACAGGGACAGGGACAGGGACAGGGGTCAGCCCTGCCCAAGCACCCCCAGCACCCTCTGCATGGAGAGCCTGTCCCCAAACCCAGCCCAAACATCCCTGCATGGTCCCCAAATCCAGCCCAAACCCCCCTGGATGTGTCCCCCAAACCCAGCCCAAACCCTCCTGGATGTGTCCCCCAAACCCAGCCCAAACCCCCCTGGATGTGTCCCCAAAACCCAGCCCAAACCCCTCTGGATGGGTCCCCAAAACCCAGCCCAAACCCCCCTGCACAGGTCCCCCAAACCCAGCCCAAACCCCCTGGATGTGTCCCCAAACCCAGCCCAAAACCCCCTGCACAGGTCCCCAAACCCAGCCCAAACCCCCCTATATGTGTCCCCAAAACCCAGCCCAAAGCCCCCTGGATGGGTCCCCCAAACCCCTCTGGATGTGTCCCCCAAACCCATCCCAAAGCCCTGCATGGACTCCCTGGGAGCAGAAATCAGCGTTCCCAACCCTCAGGAACCCCAGAGTTTTATGGAGTGCTGGAATGCCCCAAAAACATCCCAAACTGACACAAAAACTGGAAACCAGAGCGTTACCAACGGAGGGGGTTCCTATTTCTGCCCCTTGGATCAATCCCACACCCCCCAGGCTGAGCACAGCCAGGCCCCAGCCCCAGAAATTCCCCTTTTCCCACATTTCCACGTGTCCTCCTCCTGGGAAGAACGGGATTCCCGAGTGACCCCGTGGAAATCCCGTGGAAATCCCGTGGGAATCCGGGAATTCCTGCTGGGAGCAGCGCTGGGCCTGCAGCTGAGTGCCAGCCACTCACATGGTGTCACCAGAGGTCACCTTGTTCCCTTCCTGCCCAAACCGGGCTCAAACCCCGGGATCCCAGCTCAGCTGGATCTCCTCAGTGCCACAAATCCCAAATTCCCGGCGGGAATTCCCCCAGCCCTGCCCGGGAAGCACCTACCAGCGCTGGGGAGCCGAGGAGCGCCACGGGGGCCTGCATCCTGCTGGGTCTGCGGGGGAAAAGCACAGAAATGACACAAAATAACCCAAAGTGACAGCATTCCTGTCACACACACACCACAGCTCCTCTGCTGGCCCCACGGGTTTGTCCCACTGACCCCCGCGTGTCCCCAGGGCTTTCACCCCACTGTCCCCGAAGCTTTAACCCCACGGTGTCCCCAAATGTCCCCAAGGTTTTGTCCCACTGACGCCGCTGTGTCCCCAAGGTTTTAACCCAGTGTCCCCAAATGTCCCCAAGGCTTTAACCCCACTGTGACTGCCCCCAAGGCTTTGTCCCCAAGGTTTTAACCCCACTGTGTCCCCAGCTGTCCCCAAAGCTTTCACCCCACTGTGTCCCCAAAGGTTTAATCCCACAGTCACTGTCCCCAAGGCTTTGTCCCCATGGATTTGTCCCACTGACCCCCATGTGTCCCCAAGGCTTTCACCCCACTGTGACTGTCCCCAAGGTTTTGTCCCCAAGGTTTTAACCCCACTGTGTTCCCAACTGTCCCCAAGACTTTAACCCCACTGTGACTGTCCCCAAGGCTTTGTCCCCAAGGTTTTAACCTCACTGTGTCCCCAGCTGTCCCCAAGGCTTTCACCCAATTGTGTCCCCAACATTTTAATCCCACTGTGACTGTCCCCAAGGTTTTAACCCCACTGTCCCCAGAGCTTTAACCCCACTGTGTCCCGAAGCTTTTAACCCCACTGTGTCCCCAAGGTTTTAACCCCCTCGTGTCCCTGACTGTCCCCAAGGTTTTAACCCCCTCGTGTCCCTGACTGTCCCCAAGGTTTTAACCGTGTCCCCAACTATCCCCAAAGTTTTAAACCCCCCCCGTGTCCCCGACTGTCCCCAAGGTTTTAACCCCCTCGTGTCCCCGACTGTCCCCAAACCTTTAACTCCTCCATGTCCCCGACTGTCCCCACCGTGTCCCCAAAGCTTTAACCCCCCCCATCCCCCCATCCCTCACACACCTCCCCACCCTCCCTCCCTCCCCGTTAAGCCCCGCTCGCTGCCTGCCCCGCTCCGCCCTCACTCCCGCCCGGCTCCCGGAGCGCATGGCAGGCGGCAGGACCCGGCAGGACCCGGTAGGACCCGGCGGGGCCGTGCGGGGCCGGGCGGGCCGGGCGGGCCGGGCGCACCTGGAGCTCCGCTCGGGCCGGCGGCGGCGGCGCCTCTGTGGGCAGCGTCACCTTGGCCGTGTCCCCGCCGGCGTCCTCCGCGCCCATTGGCTGCCGCCGCGCGCGCGCGCCCGCGCCCGCCCTCCCCATTGGCTGCCGCCGCGCGCGCGCGCCCGCGCCCGCCCTCCCCATTGGCCGGCCGCCGAGGAAGCCCCGCCCCCTCCGCATCCGGGGCATGGAGAGCGGGGGAATGGCGGGAGGAGGGAGGGGCGGGGAGGAGAGGCGGTGATTGGTGGGGTGGGGAGGGCGGGAGCGCAGTGATTGGCTGAGGCGGGTGTCAATCAGGAGAGGGGGCGGGGTCGGGATGGGGGAAAAGGGCGGGGACGGGATTTGGGATTTGGGATTTGGGATTGGGGATTTGGGAGAGGGGATTGGGGATTTGGGATTGGGGATTTGGGATCGGGATTTGGGATTTGGGATTTGGGATTTGGGATCGGGATTTGGGATTTGGGATTTGGGATTTGGGATTTGGGATTGGGGATTTGGGATTTGGGATCGGGATTTGGGATTTGGGATTTGGGATTTGGGATTTGGGATTTGGGATCGGGATTTGGGATTTGGGATCGGGGATGGGGATTGGGGATTTGGGATTTGGAATGGGGATTTGGGATCCGGATTTGGGATGGGGAGAGGGGATTTGTGATTTGGGATCGGGATTTGGGATCGGGATTTGGGACGGGGATTTGGGACGGGGAGAGGGGATCGGGATTTGGGATTTGGGATCGGGATTGGGGATCGGGATTTGGGAGAGGGGATTTGGGATCGGGGATGGGGATTTGGGATCGGGGATGGGGATTTGGGATCGGAGATGGGGATTTGGGATCCAGATTTGGGATCGGGATTTGGGATTTGGGATGGGGAGAGGGGGTCGAGATTTGGGATTTGGGATGGGGATTGGGGATTGGGGATTTGGGATTTGGGATCGGGATTTGGGATTTGGGAGAGGGGATGGGGATTTGGGATCGGGATATGGGATTTGGGATTTGGGATGGGGAAAGGGGATCAGGATTTGGGATGGGGATTTGGGATTGGGGATTTGGGATCAGGATAGGGGATCAGGATTTGGGATGGGGAGAGGGGAATCGGGATTTGGGATGGGGATTTGGGATTTGGATTTGGGAGAGGGGATGGGAATTTGGGATTGGGATTTTGGATTTGGGATGGGGATTCGGGATTTGGGATGGGGAGAGGGTCTGTGGGATCTGGATTTTGGGCCGGAATTCCCCGCTGGAATTTGGGGCTGGAATTTGGGGCTGGAATTCCTCCCTGGGGTTCCCAAACCCCGCCCGGGTGTCCCCGCGGTGCTTTGGGATCCCCTCCAGGTCCTTCCCGGGGATTTTTTGGGAATTCTGGGGTGCTCAGAGCCCCTCCCCGATCCCATGGAGCGAAATTCCTTCATTTCAGCAGGAGAAAATTCTTTATTTTGGGAATGCGGCTCCTCCAGGGAGGGAATTCCACGGAAATCCTGGAGCTACGCGGCCCTGGCAAGGAAAAAACCCCAAATTCCTAAAAATTCCCCCAGAATTCCCCGTTAGAAATGTGATTTTTTGTATCCCTGGGGAATGGGATTTCAGTGGGTGTCCAAAGGGATTCCCGGTGGGAAATTGGGGAAAAAAGGTGGGAATGTGGGGTGGAAAGGGTTTGAAAAGGGGACTTGAAAAAGGGGTTTTAAAAAAGGGAATTTTAAAAAGGGGTTTAAAAAAGGGAATTTAAGAGGGATTTTAAAAGGGGTTTTAAAAAAGGGAATTTTTTAAAAAGGGATTTTTTTTTTTAGAAAGGGATTTCAAAAGGGATTAAAAAAAAGGATTTAAAAAGGGGATTAAAAAAAAGGGAATTTTAAAAAGGGATTTTAAAAAGGGGGAGTTTAAAAAAGGGGATTTTATAAAGGGATTTCCTGCAGGACAGAGCTCAGGATTCTGGGATTTTCCTGGGATTCTGCTCCTCGCCTCCCATTTTCCCACCAAATTCCCCAGAATTATCCATATCCCAAATATCTTATTCACAATTTTGATTTTTTTTGTTTTGGGTTTTTTTTTTGCAGAGGGGTTTTGGTGTTTATTTTATTTGGGTTTTTTTTTTTCTGTTTTGTATTGAGTTTTTTTTGTTTTATTTTGGTGGGAATTACCTGAAATAATTGTGGAAAATCAATCAAATCCCAGAATCCTGAGTTTGGGTTGGAAAAATCCCAAATCCCATCCAGTTCTTCTCCCCGGCCTTGGGCACTTCCAGGGAAAAAAAACCTCCCAAACCCCTGGAATTTTAGGGGATTTTTGGCATTTTTGGGCACTCACGTGGCCCTGCAGAGCTCCCCCGACATCAGCCAGGTCAGGAATTCCCGCTCCAAAAATTCCCTCAGGCCCGCGGAATTTTCCAGAGCTGGAAAACTGCAGGGGAATGAAAAAAAAAATATCCCAAATTTCCACAAAAACCCCCCAAATCCCAACAAATCCCTGAATTACATTTTAAAAAACAAAAAAAATCCCTCCCCAATTTCCATAAAAATCCCAACAAATCCTCAAATTCCATTGAAAAAACCCCAAAATTCTCCCAATTTCCATAAAAATCCCAACAAATCCTCAAATTCCATTGAAAAAACCCCAAAAATTCTCCCAATTTCCATAAAAATCCCAACAAATCCTCAAATTCCATTTAAAAAACACCCCAAAATATCCCGAATTTCCACAAATCCCCCCAATCCCCACATCCCGATGTCTCCCCCGCCCCCACCTCGGCTTTTCCTGGATTTTCCGGAGCCATCCCAGGAAATCTTCGGCTCCCGGCGCCCCCAAATCCGATTTTCCGCCGTCCCCGGCCCCTTTTGGGGTCCCGGCCTCGCTCCCGAGGGGCTCCGTGGGGTCTCTGGGGAAGGAAAAATGGGAAAATCCCAAAAATCCACCAGAGGGTGCCCGAATTTTGCTTTTCCAAAATCCCGGATCCGAGGGAGGGAAAATTTCAAGGATTTGGGAAAAAATGGGAAAATCCCAATCCTGGTGTTGGCCGAGGGAAAAACATCCGGGATTGGGGAATTTGGGGATTGGGGAATTTGGGAAATTGGGGATTCAGGAATTGGGGAAATTGGGAATTCAGGAAATAGGGGATTTGGGGATTTAGGAATTGGGGATTTTGGGATTTGGGAAACGGGGATTTGGGGATTCTGGAATTGGGGAATTGGGGAATTTGGGAGTTGAGGAGTTTGAGAATTGGGGAGTTTGGGGAATTGGGGGTTTGGGAATTGGGGATTTGGGGATTTTGGGAATTGGGGGTTTGGGAATTGAAGATTCGGGAATTGGGGGTTCGTGGATTCAGGAATTGGGGAATGTGGGAACTGGGGGTTTGGGAATTGCGGAACTGCGAATTTGGGAGCTGAGAATTCGGGAACTGGGGTTGGGGAACTGGGGATTTGGGACTTGGGGAATGTGGGATTTGGGAATTGGTGATTTGGGAATTTGGGAACTGGGAATTAAGGAACTGGGGTTCGGGGATTGGGGGTTTGGGTATTGGGGATTTGGGAATTGGAGATTTGGGGATTCAGGAACTGGGAATTGGGGAACTGGGGATTTGGGGATTGGGGAACTGGGAATTAAGGAACTGGGGTTCGGGGATTGAGGATTTGGGAATTTGGGATTTGGGACTTGGGGAACTGGGAACTAAGGAACTAGTGTTCTGGGATTGGGAAATGTGGGATGTGGGACCTGGGGAACGTGGGATTTGGGGAATGTGGGATTTGGGAACAGGGGAACGTGGGATTTGGGGATTGGGAATTGTGGAACGCGGGATTTGGGATTTGGGGATTGGGAACTGGGGAACACGGGATTTGGGATTTGGGGAGCTCACGGGCTGTCCCTCTCGCGCCGCGCCAGCAGCCACTCCACGAAGTTGCGGCCCAGGACGTGCTCCACGGTGCGGCTGTAGTCGCTGGCCAGCGCCGCCTCCGAGTAACGGCGCCGCGGCACCGAACCCGAACCCGGCACCGAACCCGGCGCCGGCACCGCGCCCGGGCTGCGCGGGCACCAGAACCGTCAGATCCCGGCCGGGAGATCCCGGGGAGATCCCGGGATGGGGTCACTGATCCCAGGCAGATCCCGGGGAGATCCCAGGGATGGGGTCAGCTTATCCTGGGATGGGGTCAATGCTGATCCCATGGGATGGGCTGAGAGCTGATCCCATCGGGATTTGGTCATTCCTGATCCCGTCGGGATTTGATCACTCCTAATGCCATTGGGATGGGGTCACTGCTGATCCCACTGGGAGCCCCCCCGGAGCCTCCTGGGGACATTCCCGGTTCCTCAGGACCATTCCCAGTTCCCGGTGCCATTCCTGGTTCCCGGGGCCGTTCCCGGTTCCCGGTTCCCCGCTCACCCCGGGGCCATTCCCGGTGACATTCCCAGTTCCCAGTGCCATTCCCGGTTCCCGGGGCCATTCCCGGTGTCCCGGTGCCATTCCCGGTTCCCGGTTCCCGCTCACCCCGGGGCCGTTCCCGGTTCCCGGTGCCATTCCCGGTTCCCGGTTCCCGGTCCCCGCTCACCCCGGGGCCATTCCCGGTTCCCGGTGCCGTTCCCGGTTCCCGGGGCCATTCCCGGTGCCATTCCCGGTGTCCCGGTGCCGTTCCCGGTTCCCGGTCCCCGCTCACCCCGGGCTCTCCTCCGCGCACAGCACGCCCAGCCCGACCAGCAGCAGCAGCGGCAGCGCCCGCAGGGACCTCAGCGACATCTTCCCGGGCGGAATTCCCTCGGGATAACCGGGATAACCACCGGGATAACCACCGGGATAACCACCGGGATAACCACCGGGATAACCGGGAGCTGCAGCGCCGGGGTCCCGCGGGACCCTCGGGATGCGATTCCAGCGGGATCGGGCCGGGAATTCCCGCCGCCCCTGGCAGCCGAATCCCTCCTTCCCAAAGCTCCTTCCCAAAGCTCCTTCCCAAAGCTCCTTCCCAAAGCTCCTTCCCGGCTTTTCCCGCTCTGCTCCCCGGTGGGAATTCCCGGTGGGAACGGGAATCCAGCCCAGCCCGGCCCGGGAGTGGGAATGTGCTCCCGGAGCCGGGAATTCCGCAGGGAACCCCCATGGTCCCCTCCTGCTTTGGGATCCAATTCCTGGGGTTTTTTGGGATGGAGAAAGTTTGGGATGGGAAATATCGGTTATGGAAAACGTGGGCAGCGATGGGATGGAATCCTAAAATTCCCAAGAGTTTAAAAAAAAAAGGATTTCCAATAATCCACGGAATTGGGGACAGCTCTCCCTCCCTTCCAGGGAAATCCTGCATGGGGGCAGCGCTGCCATTCCCTAAAATCCAGGCTCCATTCCCGCTCCTCACATCCCAAAAATTCCCCCACACTTCCAACATTTCCAGCTCCATCCTGCCCGAAACTCCCTCCACAATTCCAACATTTCCCTGGAATTCCCATTTCCTCCCAGAGTTCCCATTTCCCCCAGAATTCCCTTTTTCCCCTGGAACTCCCATTTTCCCAGAATTTCTTACCTCCCTGAAACTCCCATTTCCCCCAGAATTCCCATTTTCCCAGGATTTCTTACCTCCCTGTGCGGATTCCCGGCAGCTCTGCAGCCCCGGAGCCGCTCGGGGCCGTTTTTATCCCGATTCCAGAGGGTAACCAGGAAATCCAGGCGGGAATTGGGGCAATTCCCAGCAGGAAATCACCTCGGAAAATATTGACATTAATGGCAATTAAACATTTCTGCATCAGGGCATTAATGGGGCTGTTCCACCCCTAATTCCATGGAAAACCCCCCCCCCAGAATTCCCATTTTTGCTATGGAAAAACCCCCAGCCTGCTCCTTCTTTGGTGAAATCCTTGGATCCTGTCGCAAATCCAAGGATCTGCCAGCCCCAAATCCAGCGTTTTCCTCCCCAAAAATGGGATCTGCAAGAGGAAATCTGGGGTGGAGAGGGGCAGATCCAGTTTGGGATTGCCAAATCCCAGTTTGGGACTTCCAAACCCCAGTTTGGGATTGCTAAATCCCAGTTTGGGATTGCCAAATCCCAGTTTGGGATTGCCAAATCCCAGTTTGGGATTGCCAAACCCCGGGTTGGGATTGCCAAATCCCAGTTTGGGATTGCCAAATCCCAGTTTGGGATTGCCAAACCCCAGTCTGGGATTGCCAAACCCCAGTTTGGAATTGCTAAATCCCAGTTTGGGATTGCCAAATCCCAGTTTGGGATTGCCACGAGGTTTTGGGATTCCCAAATCCCATTGTGAGGTGGACAAATCCTGGCCTGGGATCCCCAAATCCAGTTTGGGATCCTCTTTTGGGATTCCCAAATCTCCTTTAGGAATTGCCACGGATACCCCATTCCCAGATCCCATCCCAGGAAAGGCTCTCCCTGCTCCATGGATACCCCGTTCCCAGTCCCAGATCCCATTCCCAGATCCCATATCCCAATCCCAGATCCCAGATCCCAGATCCCATCCTGATCCATGGATACCCCATTCCCAATCCCAGATCACATTCCCATCCCAGGAAAAGCTCTCCCTGCTCCTTGGATACCCCATTCCCAAATCCCAGATCCCAGATCCCAGATCCCAGATCCCAGATCCCATCTTGCTCCCTGGATACCCCATTCCCAAATCCCAAATCCCATCTCCCATTCCCATTCCCTGGACACCCCATTCCCATTCCATGGATACCCCATTCCCAAATCCCAAATCCCATTCCCTGGACACCCCATTCCCAAATCCCAAATCCCATCTCCCATTCCCATTCCCTGGTACCCCATTCCCATTTCCTGGATTTCCCATTCCCTGGACACCCCATTCCCATTCCCTGGATACCCCATTCCCAAATCCCAAATCCCAAATCCCATCTCCCAATCCCATTCCCTAGACACCCCATTCCCATTCCCTGGATACCCCATTCCCATTCCCTGGATTTCCCATTCCCAAATCCCAAATCCCATCTCCCATTCCCTGGATTTCCCATTCCCTGGATTTCCCATTCCCTGGATTTCCCATTCCCTGGATTTCCCATTCCCTGGATACCCCATTCCCAGCGAACCCCGGGATCTCTGGACGCCTCCCGGGGTGATTGATTGGGGTAATTAGTGCCTAATGACCTCCGGGGAGCCAATTAACCCCGTTCCCTTCTCCCGAGGCGCGGCTGGAAAAGCGGGAATGTTTATCCCGAAAAGCGGGAATGTTTATCCCGAAAAGCGGGAATGTTTATCCCGAGATCTTTAGGGCGATCCCGCGGGAGTTAATGGGGCGGGAGGAATTCCCAGCTGGAGCCTGGAAAATCTCCCGGGAAAAGCGGGAGCAGCATTCCCGAATTTCCAGAATGTCGGGAAGGGGGAAAAGTGGGATTTTGGGATTCCTTTGGAGCGCAGCTCCGGGAGGGGGGCGCGGCTGCGTCGCTTTTTTTTTGAGGTTAAAAAAGGGATTTTTGGGTGTCCCGAGTGGCAGTAAATGGATTTATTGAGCGGTGAATTCCTCCCGCAGCCGGGGGGGGAAATATAAAAAATAAAATAAAATAAAATAAAATAAAATAAAATAAAATAAAATAAAATAAAATAAAATAAAATAAAATAAAATAAAATAAAATAAAATAAAATATAATATCATCAAACAATCCTGAAATGCAGATAAAATAAAATTTAAAAAAAATCACCAATAAATCTTGAAAGATAGGAAAAATAAAATAAAATAAAAATCATGAATCAATCCTGAAATGCAGATATAAAATAAAATAAAATAAATAAAACAAAACCCAAAAAAAATATCCTCCTGGATTTTTTGGGGTGCCACAGAACCAGCCCGACACCAGCTCAACCCTCCAGGGGCAACCTGGGAATTTCCCGACAACTTTTAGGATTTTTCCCACAATTTCCAATAATTTTTCCAAATTTTTCTGGAATTCTTAAACTTTTCTTTTTAATTTTTCCACATTTTTTAGGATTTCCCCCACATTTTAAAATCATTTTCTCCACATTTTACTTAGGATTTTCCCCACATTTTAAAATAATTTTCCCCACATTTTTCAGGATTTCCCCCATTTTTCTGGATTTTCCCAGGATTTTCCCCAGTTTTCAGGATTTCCCCCATTTTTCCAGGATTTTCCCCATTTCCCAGGATTTTTATCAGGATTTTCCCCATTCCCCAGGATTTTTATCAGGACTTTCCCCATTTCCCAGGATCTTCCCCATTTTTCAGGATTTCCCCATTTCCCAGGATTTTTATCAGGATTTCCCCATTTCCCAGGATTTTTATCAGGATTTTCCCCATTTCCCAGGATCTTCCCCATTTTTCAGGATTTCCCCATTTCCCAGGATTTTTATCAGGATTTTTACCAGGATTTTTTTCAGGATTTCCCCATTTCCCAGGATTTTTCCCAGGCTTTTTATCAGGATTTTCCCCATTTCCCAGGATTTTTACCAGGATTTTTATCAGGATTTTCCCCATTTTCCAGGATTTTTTTTAGGATTTCCCCATTTCCCAGGATTTTTCCCAGGCTTTTCCCGCTCCCGCTGCAGGCGGGGCCGGGGCGGAGCGGGGGCCGCGCTCGTTGGGAGCCGCGTTCATTAAGAGTTAATTACAGCGCGGGGGAGGGGCGGGAGAGCCGCGACCGGAGCCCCCCGGTAACCCCCCGGTATCCCCCGGTGCTCCCCGGCCCAGCCCCGGTACCCACTGAGCCCCGCGGTACCCCCCGGTACCCCCGGTACCCCCGGTAACCCCCCGGCCCAGCGAAGGTCGGGGGTCGGGCCGGGGGTCGGGGAGGGCGGGCTCGGGGAAGGTTGATTTTGGGGGGTGGGTTTTGGGGGGTTGGTTTTGGGGGGATTGGTTTGGGGTGTTGATTTTTGGGGGGTGGGTTTTGGGGGGTTCGGTTTTGGGTGGTTGGTTTTGGGGGTTGGTTTTGAGGGGTTGGTTTTTGGGGGGTTGGTTTGGGAGTTGGTTTTTGGGGGAATGGGCTCGATTAGGGTTGTTTTTGGGGGGTGGGCTCGGTGGGGGTGGGCTCGGTGGGGGCTGTTTTTGGGGGGTGGTCTCGCTGCTATTTCCAACCCAGCTCCGACCTAAAAACCATCAGCGTCCCGAAACGGCGGCGGGGACGGACGGACAGACGGACGGACGGACGAGGGGGTCCCGTTCCCTTTGGGGGTCCCGCTCCCCTTGGGGGTCCCGCTCCTTTTGGGGGTCCCGCTCCCTTTGAGGGTCCCGCTCCCTTTGGGGGTCCCGTTCCCTTTGGGGCCCCGCTCCCTTTGGGGGTCCCGCTCCCTTCGGGGGTCCCGGCGCGCCCCCTCCCCAGGCCGGGCCCCTCCCGGCCCCTTTTGATGCCGAAGTTCTTTTTACACCCAGAAAAATCCCCGCGAGGCTCCGGGGGGAGGGGAGGGGGCGGTGGGGGAGGGGCGCGGTGGGGGGAGGGGCGCAGCAGATGGGACCGAGCCCCCCGGTGGGATTTGGGGGGTTGAGGGGGGAAATCCCGGGGGTGGGACGCGCTCCCCATCCCGCGGAGGAAGGGAACGGGAATACGGGTGAAGAAATCAAGAAATAAGTTGAATAAATGAATAAATAAATAAATAAATAAATAATTACACGAATGAAGCGGCGGCCGCCCCCTCCCCCCCCCCCAGCCCCTCCCCCCGGCCCTCCCCCACCTCCCTCCCGCATCACCACGTGGCTCCATCCCGCAAACATTTTCACGTTCGCTCCGGTTCGGGGGTCCCCCAAAGCCGCTGCCCCCCACCCCGGTACCCCCTCCCCCCGTCCCGTTGTCCGGTGCCGCTCCGGGACCGGCTCGGGGGCCCCTCCGCCACCGCCGCCACCGCCCTGCCCGCCGGGGCCGCCCCCTCCCCTCCTTCCTCCTCCTCCTCCTCCTCCTCCTCCTCCAGCGGCCGCCGCCCCCCTCCCCTCCCCACCGGCACAAAAATCCGCTGGGCAGAAGGGGGTGAAAACCCCCCAATAATCCCCCCAAAAAAACAAAACAACAAAAAGAGGAGAGAAAACCCAAAATTTAAACAGCCGGGGCGAAGCTCGGGGGGGGCGCGCCGCGGAGCCGGAGCCCCCCGGACCCCCCGAGCCCCCCGAGCCCCCCGAGCCACCATGAACAAACTGTACATCGGGAACCTGCCCGAGGGCGTCACGGCGGCCGAGCTGGAGCGGCTGTTCGCCGAGCAGCAGATCCCCTTCAGCGGCCGCTTCCTCCTCAAGCCCGGCTATGCCTTTGTGGACTGCCCCGACGAGCAGTGGGCCATGAAAGCCATCGAAACTTTCTCGGGTGAGCCGCTCGACCCGGCCCGGACTGGCCCGGATCGCCCCGGATCGCCCCGAAACCTGCCCCGGATCACCCCCAAACCTGCCCCGAAACCAGCCCCGAATCACCCCCAAACCTGCCCCGAAACCAGCCCCGAATCACCCCAAACCAGCCCCGGATCGCCCCGAAACCTGCCCCGAATCATCCCCGAATCACCCCAAACCAGCCCCGAATCATCCCCGAATCACCCCAAACCAGCCCCGAATCACCCCCGAAACCAGCCCCGAATCACCCCAAACCAGCCCCGAAACCAGCCCCGGATCATCCCCGACCCCCCCCGCCCCCTCGATCTCTCCCGGCTCCGAAATCCCGACCCGAAATCGATCCCTCCCGGCCCCTCAGAGCCTCCTCAGCCCCTCAGTCAATCCCGACCCCCCCAAATCCCTCCCGGTCCTCCCAGACCCCGAAATCCTTCCTGAATCCCGAAATCTCCAGCCCCAAAATCCCGATCCCCCAATTCCTCCGGACCCCCCAGTCCCGACCCCCAAAATCCCGATTCCCCAAAATCCCTCCTGACCCCCCAATCCCGACCCCCAAAATCCCGACCCCCAAAATCCCTCCCGACCCCCAAAACCCCTCCTGACCCCCAATCCCGACCCCCAGCCCCTCCCCCTCCAATCCGTGGGATCCCCGTCGGGGCCGCGCCCCCGTTTTTTGTCCCTTCCCCAAAATCCCGTCCCGGGGAGGCGGAGGGACCCCAAAACCGCGCTCGGGGGTCCCGGAGCCGCCCCCGGCCCGGGTCGCCCCCGGGTCGCCCCCCGGGCTTTGCCCGCTCGGGCCGGGGCCGCGCTCCGGGCCGAGGTCGCCATGCTGGGAACGGAGAATTTGGGAGCAAATCGGCGATTTGGGGGCTTTTTAAATTTGGGGTTTTTTTCCCCCCTCGTCTCCATCTCCTTCCCCGTCCGGTTCTTTTTCTTCGCTATTCCCCCCGCTAAAAAAAAATAAATATAAAATATATAAATTAAAAATCATGGGATGAGACGGTAGCGAGGGAATCCCGCTCCATTTTCCGGGAGAAATCCATTCCTGTGGAATCCCGAAACCGGAGCCTTTCGGTAGGAAAAGGGGAGGGAATTTTCTCCAAACACTTTTCCCAGAGGGTTGAAAGAAAAGGGGGAAATTCTCCAAATCCACCAAAAAAAACCCAACAAAAAAACCCAAAAAAACCATCCCAAATCTCATCCCTCGAATCCCTCCAGGCTGGAGCGAGGGATGAAACATTCCCAAGGAACAATTCCAGAGGCAGCGCTCCCCGCTGGAATCTCGCATTCCATAAAAATCCACTTGTGAGGAGCCGAGCGCTGGATTTGGGTGGAAATCGGGAGAATTCGGGATGAATTTCGCGCGGGAATTCCCGTTTATCCCGAGTTTTCCCTCCCACATTTCCCAACCCGGGTTTTGTTTTTAGGGAAAGTGGAGCTCCATGGGAAGCAGCTGGAGATCGAACACTCGGTGCCCAAAAAGCAAAGGTAAAGGTGGAGCTTTAATTGATTTTTAATTGGTTTTTAATTGATTTTTAATCGTTATCATCGGAATTATTAATTTGTGTTGGGAGGGGGGAAATAGGAGAGAAAAAAGGCAAAAATTTCCACCAAAAAATGAGAAAAAATGAAGAAATGTTGGAGATTTTTCCTGGGATTTGCCCCCAGCGAGCTGAGTTTAATTAATTCATTAAACATTTCACGAATTAATTGGGTTTTTTTTTTATTTTTCCCGAAGAAAACTCAATCTGCGAGTTTTTCATTAAAATAAGAAGGGAAGTAAAGGTGAAATAAATAATTCTCCACGTGCTGCCGGAGGTGATGGATGGGTTTGGGCTGGGATTTCCAAACTTGTGGAAGAATTTCCCGGCTCCTTTTGGCGCCTGGCTGGGAAATGAGGGGAAAATCCTTTGTTTTGGGAGAAGGAAAAAAAATATATATAAAAAAAAAAATCTTAAAAAATTAATATATTTTTAAAAAATCTGATTGAAAAAAGTGAATTTTGCTGGGATAAAAAAAGAACAAAACCGGCACGCGGCGGCTGAGGGCGGGCAGGGAGGAAATCCCGGCTGAATTCCCGGGATTTTGGGGGGAAAAGCGGCTTTTTTGGGCTTTCCCGGGATCTCCCGCCCAGCCCATCCCTCTCCATCTTCCCCGGCCTTTGTTGTTCCCGGCTGGAGCCGCGAGCGCTCGGGAAAATCCTCCGAATTCCCGGAAAATCCTCCGATCCCGCCCACCTCGGGGGTTTTTCCCAGAATTTCCCCTTTTTTTTAATTCCCCCCCCCGATTTTCACCCCCCGAACTCGCGGAATTCCCGGAATTCCCGATCCCAAAAATTCCACGTTGGACCCGAATCCATCGCCACGTGACGGAGGCGCCTTTTCCAAAGGGGAAAGAGGAGGGGAGGGAACGACGCCGGCTCTTCCCGGCCCCGAATTCCCGAAATTCCGACCCAAATTCCCAAAATTCCAGCCCCAAAATCCCAAAATTCCAGCCCCAAAATCCCGGCCCCCAAATCCCCAAAATTCCGGCCCCAAAATCCTAACATTCCATCCTCAAACTCCCCAAAATCCCGGCCCCAAATTCCCAAAATCCCGGCCCCAAATTCCCAAAATCCCGGCCCCAGATTCCCAAAATTCCGGCCCCAAATTCCCAAAATCCCGGCCCCAAAATTCCCCAAATCCCAGCCTCAAAATCCCAACATTCCATCCCCAAACTCCCCAAAATCCCGGCCCCAAATTCCCAAAATTCCGGCCCCAAATTCCCAAAAATTCCGGACCCAAAATCCCAAAATCCCGGCCCCAAAATCCCAGCCCCAAAATCCCAACATTCCAGCCTTAAATTCCCAAAATCCCGGTCCCAAATTCCTGAAATTCCAGCCCCAAACTCCCCAAAATCTCAACCCCGGATTCCCCAAATTCCTCCTTTTCCCGACCCTTCCCTGCCCCTTTTTGGGTTCGCCCCCTTTGGTCTCTCAAAATTCCCAAAAATTGGGAGGGGGGTGACCCCAAAAAGGGCGATCCCAAATCCAGCCAGGAATTCCCCAGCCCCCTTTTCCCGGCCCGAATTCCCGGATTTTAGGGGGATAATTATAATTTTTATTAATTTTTTCCCCCCTCCCTAATGATTTTACTCCACTGTGGTGTCCAGGGATGGGGGGAATATTGGGAATATTGGGATGGAATTCCATGAAAAGTTAAAAATATCCCTTAAAAAACCCCTGGAAATTCCAATTTCCCCCCTCCCACTTTGGTTAATCAATAATTTGGGGAGGGAGGAGCAGATCTCCCCTTTTTTTTTCCCCAAAAAAATTCCCTAAAAATGAGATTATTCCTTTGGGATCTGGGATTTGAAGCGCTGGGGAAAAAAAACCCTTTAAAATAATTTGGGATTTGGATTTGTTTTCCTCCTGGGTGTCCCTAAAAATGCTTGGATTGGCTGGAAAATCCCATTTTTGGGGTTTTTTTGGTTTTTTTAGGGTTAAAACTCACTCCCCCCCACTCCGGGGCTGCTCTTAAAGGGCCAGCGCCGCTTTTCCCACTTTTCCCTCCTGGAATATTTGTAGGGAATTTTTGGGGGATTTCGGGAGCGCCCCAGACACTTTGGGAAAGATTTGGTGTTTTTGGGGTGGAAAAAGCGATTTTGGGGTATTTACCTTCAACTAGGGAGGGCTGGGAGACAAAAATGGAATTTTTGGGGGATTTTTGGGGGGTTTTTTGAATCCTCCTTTCATTTTTCCAGACTGGAATTTCCAGTTTGGAGCAGGAAATGGTTAATGAGGGGAGAAATTCGGGATCCAAATTAAAATTCCTCCCCTTTCCCCTCCCCCAAAACCCGAGATTAATTATTTTTTCTTCTTCTTTTTTTTTTTTATCCCTTTAAAAATGTGGGAAAACCAGTCAGGAGCAGAGTTGCCCTTCCCAGTTAATTTATTAAAAAAAAACAAAACAAAACTAAACCAGCAAAAAAAAGCCCCAAAAAATTGTCTTTTTTCTTTAGGTTAAAGTGGAAATAATGGTGCAAAAAAACTTAATTTGGGTGGTTTTAATTCATTAATGCCAACAAAATCCCAAGGAATTCTTTCCTCTCGGTTTACTCCCAATTTTTCAAACCTCTCCTAAACAAAACATTCAAAAATAACTTTTAAAACCCCAAAATGGGTTAAAATAGCACAAAAAAATGGGATTTGGGGTGTGTGGCTGCAAGAGGAATAAATTGATTTATTTGGGATCAGTTCTTGGGATTCTCCCAATTATTTTCGTTATTTGGGGAATTATTGCAGCAGAATTCCTTCAAAGTCTTAAATGGTGAGGAAATATTATTAAAAATGGGATTTAATGAACAAAAAAAAGAGATTTTGGGTTAATTTGGGGTCATTTTGAGCATTTGTTGGGTTTTTGGGAGTTGGTTTTCCTTGGATTTTGTTGATGGGAAAATTGGGGAGAAACTTGAAATTTTCAATCCCCAAATCTCCAAAATTTTCCTGTTTGGAGTCAAAGGGGAAGTTTCAAAAGAAATTTATTTTTTAAGGAAATAAAAAATCCAAATTCAGGTTCTTGGGTTGGGACTTGGGGATTTGGGCTGGTTTTAACCCAAAAAATGGGAATTAAAAAATGGGGATTTGCACCCCCAGCTCCTCCTGGGGTTGTGCTCAGGGTGTTAATTTTAATTATCATTATAAAAATTGATAATTTTAATTCTTGTGGTGGCATCAAAGTTCAGTTCAGGGCAGAGAAATGTTGGAAAAATCCTAAAATTCCCTTGGATTTTCCTTCAAATCTGGGGATTCCCATCAAAAAAATCCTCATTTTCCACAGGGAAAATCCTGGAATTAATTGTTCCCAACGAAAAACATTCAAACCCGGGTTGAGGTTCCTTTTTTGGGCACTTTTCACCCCAAAATTTGCTTTTATTTCCCCTTTTGGGGTTGGATTTGCTGGAAATGGAACCGAAAATGAACCAAAAAAACCCCAAAAATGGACCAAAATTCCAGGATTCCCAGAATCCCAGGGAATTTGGGATCCAGCTGTCCCCGCAGGCTCTGAGCACTCCCGGAATTCCCAGATTCCAGGATTCCCAGAATCCCAGGGAATTTGGGATCCAGCTGTCCCCACAGGGAAATTCCGTCTCCTGCTGCCTCCATGCCGGGGGAATCCCAAGGAATTCCCGATTTCCCGAGGAATTCCCGATTCCCCTCCTCGCTGCCTCGGGAAATGTTGCTTTTGGTGCTCCAGATTTTGGGAATTCCGGGTTTTTTGTGGATGAGGGCACCGGGAGGCTCCGATCTCCACGTTTTTCCTGGAATTTCGCCAGCTCAGCTCCGGCTTTGCCTCGATTCCCGCGGAATTCCGGAGCCGTGGGATCAGCCCTGGCTGTGCAGGGAGCTCCCCGCAGCTCAAGAATCCTAATTAATCAATCCTAATTAATCGATCCTAATTAAGCACTCCTAATTAATCACTCCTAATTAATCAATCCTAATAATTCCCAGCTTGAGGGATCCCAAACTCCTGGAGCCTTCACCTGCCAGGGGTTGGGAAAAGGGGCTGGAATTTGGGATTTTCCCTTTCCTCCTTATCCCAAACATTCCTTGGAATTCCTGGATCCCATCCAGCCGGGATCTCCCGAGTGGGGATTTGGGATTTGATAAATATTTCTATGGGAATTTCCGGGATTTTGTGTTTTCCTTCCCAGGAGCGCATCCAGAGGAATTTTGGGATCCTCCCGTGGTTCCTCTTCCCATAAAAATTCCCCAAAAATCGGCCAAAGGAGCCCCAAATCCCCCGGGGCAGATTGGGGTCCCCGAGCAGGAAAATCCCAAGGGATTGGATGGAATTTGGATGGAATTTGGATGGAATTTGGATGGAATTGTTCCGGGATTGGATGGAATTTGGATGGAATTTGGATGGAATTTGGATGGAATTGTTCCGGGATTGGATGGAATTTGGATGGATTTTGGATGGAATTTGGATGGAATTTGGATGGAATTTGGATGGAATTTGGTGGAATTGTTCCGGGATTGGATGGAATTTGGATGGAATTTGGTGGAATTGTTCCGGCTGTGCTGGAATCGGGAATGGAGGGAATTTCCAGGGGCGGAATGCCAGGAATCGTAAATCTGAGCGGGGCGTGAGTGACAGCTGTCAATCACCCACACAATGAGGCTCAATTAGCCAGGAATTCCAGGATTTTGGGATCCTTCCCAGAGGGAGGCGCCGGGCGGGATCCACATTTGGGATTTTCCTGCTCCGGCTCAGCCCGGCTGCTCCCAAAGGGGCGGAATTCCCCAAAATCCGGAATATTCCTGCTGGGGCCGGCTTTAATCCCGGTTTTATCCAGGGATCGGGGTAAAATCCAGGGATTTTGGGGGGATTGGGAAGTGTTTTGGGATCTCTTCTGGAAGAAATTTCCCATTAAACCTTCGGGATTCAACTGGGAGCTGCTGGGTTGGGAAAAGGGAACCGGGAAGAGCCGAATTCGGGAACAGCCGGAGCCCAGTGGGGTCGGGAGGAATTCTGGAATTCTGCTCTCAAAGGGATGATGGAATTTCACTCCCAGAGGAATTCTGGAATTCTACTCCCGATGGGATTATGGAATTCTACTCTTGATGGGATTCTGAGATTCTGCTCCTGACGGGATTCTGGAATTCCACTCCCAGCAGGATTCTGGAACTCTGTTCCCAAAGGGATTCTGGAATTCTGCTGCTGATGAGATTATGGAATTTCACTCCCAGAGGGATTATGGAATTCTGTTCCCAGAGCAATTCTGGAATTCCACTCCCAGCAGGATTCTGGAATTCCAGCCCCACAGGGAACTGGGATCCAGCAGGAATCCCTGGGAGCACCTGGAATTTTGGGGCTCGCTCCGATCCAGGGATGTGCCCCAGCCCAAATTCCCATTTTTCCATCCTTGCAGGAGCCGGAAAATCCAGATCCGGAACATTCCGCCGCAGCTGCGATGGGAGGTAAGGGCAGGGATGGCGCTCCGGGATTCCGCCGGAAATCTCGGGAAAGCGACACCGCCCAGACCGCCGTTAATTACCGATTCCCGTTAATTCCCAATTCCCGTTAATTCCCTGATTCCCGTTAATTCCCCGATTCCCTAATTCCCGTTAATTCCCTGATTCCCATTAATTCCCTGATTCCCGTTAATTCCCCGATTCCCGTTAATTCCCCGATTCCCGTTAATTCCCCGATTCCCATTAGTTCCCCAATTCCCATTAATTCCCCAATTCCCGTTAATTCCCCAATTCCCGTTAATTCCCCGATTCCCATTAATTCCCGTTCATTTGCGATTCCTCCCTTGCACAGGGAATAAAACGGATCCCCTGGGAATTCCCTGGTTCCGGCAGTCCCGGAGCTTCCCGGCCTTAATTGCTCGGGAATTCTTAACGATCCTGGAATTCTTAACGCTGCCTCGGAGCCCAGGGGCGGGTGGGTTTTCCTGGGATTGATTTTCCCTTTTTCCCAGGTTTTGGACGGGCTGCTGGCCCAGTACGGCACCGTGGAGAGCTGCGAGCAAGGTAGGAGGGGAGGAAACCCAGATTTTGGGAATTCCACCCGGATTTTGGGAATTTCACCCGGATCTCGGGGATTTCTGCTCCTGAGAAAGGAATAAAATGCAGATTTCAGGAATTTCTGCCCTGTTTCAGAGGGAGAAGGGAGTAAACCCCAGATTTCTGGAATTTCTGCCCTGTTTCAGCAGGAAGAGGGAATGAAACCTTTTCCTGAATTTCCAGCTCCTTTTCCCAAATCCCTGCCTCTTTTCCTGAATTTCCAGTTCCTTTTCCCTAATCCCTGCCTTTTTTCCCGAATTCCCGCAGTGAACACGGACAGTGAGACCGCCGTGGTGAACGTCACCTACGCCAACCGGGAGCAGACCCGGCAGTGAGTGCCCCGGGAATCCGGGAATTCTTCGGGAATCCGGGAATTCCCTCCCTTCCCCGCCCGTAGGAAGAAGGATTTCCCATTTCCCCAGATCCCAAAATTCCGGCAAAACCAGCAAATCCTTGAGGACACCCCTTAGATGTGGTCGATTTTCCTCCCCCTTTGGACAGAATTCCAAGTTTTTGGGGTTTTCTCGGCAGCTCAGGGAGTAAAACCCAAACTTTTTGCCAGAGAAAAAGTTGGGATTTCTGGGTGCTTCCATGATTTGGGAAGCCACGGGGATTTGGGAACCCATGGGAATTTGGGAACTCACAGGGATTTGGGAACCCACGGGAATTTGGGAACTCACAGGGATTTGGGAACCCACGGGAATTTGGGAACTCACAGGGATTTGGGATCACCCGCTCCGTCTCGCAGGAGGGAGGGGAGAGTTGGGAACCAGTCCCCGTGTGGGAATTTTGGGAGAAGGATTTGGGATCTCACTCCATCCCTCAGAAGGGATTTGGAATCACTCCCTGTCTGGGAATTTTGGGAGAGGGATTTGGGATCTCACTCCATCCCTCAGAGATTTTGGAATCACTCCCTGTGAGGGGATTTTGGGACAGGGATTTGGGATCTCCATCCCTCAGAAGGGATTTGGGAATCCCTGTCAGATTCCTGCTGTGACAGGGATTTGGGATCTCACTCCATCTTTCAGAAAGGATTTGGGAATCTTTTCCTGTGAGGGGATTTTGGGACAGGGATTTGGAATCTCTCTCCATCCCTCAGTAGGGATTTGGGAATCTTTTCCTGTGAGGGGATTTTGGGACAGGGATTTGGGATCTCACTCCATCCCTCAGTAGGGATTTGGGAATCTCTCCCTCTGCGGGAATGCCGGGGCAGTTTCCATAAAACACTTTTGGCAATTCCCGGCGTTCCCCATCCCATCCCTGATTCCCGGCGTTCCCCAATCTGGCCCCACTTGGGGTTCCCAAACCCATCCCTAATTCCCGGTGTCCCCCAGAGCCATCCTGAAGCTCAACGGGCACCAGCTGGAGTCCCACGCGCTCAAGGTCTCCTACATCCCGGACGAGCAGCCCGAGAACGGGCGGCGCGGCGGCACCGGGACTCGCACCGGGGCCCGTTCGGGGTCCCCGCCGCCCTCCGGGGCCGCCCCGAAGCCGCCGCCGCCCCCGGACGTGCCCCTGCGGCTCCTGGTGCCCACCCAGTTCGTGGGGGCCATCATCGGCAAGGAGGGGGCCACCATCCGCAACATCACCAAGCAGACCCAGTCCAAGTGAGTCCCGCGGGGCCCGGGGGGATCCGGGGGGATCCGGGGGGATCCGGGGGGATCCGGGGGTTCCCCAGAGGTTCTTCAGAGGTTCTTCAGAGGTTTTTCCAGGATCCAGGGGGTCTCTAGAGGTTCTTCGGGAGTTCTCCAAGGCTTTTCCAGGAGTGATTCAGGGTTTCTCCAGGCCTGATCCAGGGGTTCTCCAAAGTTTCTCCAGGGGTTTTACAGAATTCTCCAGGGCTTCTGCAGGGGTAATCCAGGGGCTCTCCAGGAGTTCTCCAGGGGTTATCCAAAGGATTTCTTTGGGATTTGAGCTGCTGGCCACCCCTCTCCCACTGCTTCACATCCCGTTGGGATTTTTGGGATTTCAGCCACCAACCCCTGCACCCCTGCGGAACTCCCGCCCCCGTTTCCCCCCTCGCTCCGGGACGTGGCTTTGGGACGGTCGGGAGCTGCGGGGCCTCTCCCAGCGCCCGTCCCGCGGTTTTTAGGATCGACGTGCACCGGAAGGAGAACGCGGGCGCGGCCGAGAAGGCCATCAGCATCCACTCCACGCCCGAGGGCTGCTCGGCCGCCTGCCGGATGATCCTGGACATCATGCACAAGGAGGCCAAGGACACCAAGACGTGAGATTCCCACCCCATGATCCCACCCCAGGGTCCTCCCGGCCCTGTGCCCCCGGAATTCCGGGTCTGGGGACTCCAACCCTTGGGGTGTGACCTTCCCCCGGCCGGCCACTGTGCCAACCCCTCCTGTCCCAGGTTCCACTTTTTGGGTTTTCCTCCTTTCCCAGTTCCCATAATCCCTCCTTTTGGGTTTTCCCTCCTTTTGGGTTTTCCCTCCTTTCCCTGTTCCCACAATCCCTCCTTTTGGGTTTTTCTCCCTGTTTCCAGCTGCCATAATTCCTCCTGTGGGGTTTTTCCCTTTCCCCATCTGCCCTAATCCCTCCTGTGGGGTTTTCCCTGCATTCCCATTCCCGTTCCCATCCCCGTTCTCCATTCCTCATTCCCCATTCCCACCCCTGTCCCCATCCTCATTCCCATTTCCCTATTCGCATCTCTGTTCCCATTCCCATTTCCCCATTCCCATTCCCGTTCCCATTCCCATTTCCCTGTTCCCATTCCCGTTCCCATTCCCATTTCCGCGTTCCCATTCCCGTTCCTGTTCCCATTCCCATTCCCATTTCCCCATTCCCGTTCCCATTCCCGTTCCCATTCCCGTTCCCGTTCCCATTCCCGTTCCCATTCCCGTTCCCGTTCCCATTCCCATTCCCGTTCCCATTCCCATTCCCGTTCCCATTCCCATTCCCATTTTCCCGTTCCCATTCCCGTTCCCATTCCCATGCCACATTCCCATCTCTGTTCCCATTCCCATTTCCCCGTCCCCATCCCCATTTTCCCATTCCCATTTCCCCGTTCCCGTCCCCAGGGCTGAGGAGGTCCCCCTGAAGATCCTGGCCCACAACAACTTCGTGGGGCGCCTGATCGGCAAGGAGGGCCGGAACCTGAAGAAGGTGGAGCAGGACACGGAGACCAAGATCACCATCTCCTCGTAAGGGCAGGGGGCTGGACGGGAGGAGGAGGAGGAGGAGGAGGAGGAGGAGGAGGAGGAGGAGGAGGAGGAGGAGGAGGAGGAGGAGGAGGAAGATAAGGATGGTGATGGGGCAGAGGTTTCAGTCCCCAAAGTTCTCCCAGGGAGTCCCTGGTGTTGGATTTTCTGTGCTCCCCTTTCCCATCCCCTTTGAGGAACCTTCTCACCGCTTTGGGGTCCCCTGGGCGTGTCCCCATGTCCCTGGGTGTGTCCCCAAGTGTGTCCCAGTCCCCCATGACACGTCCCCATCCCCCGGGCTGTCCCCATGGCCGTGTCCCTGTCCCCATGGCCGTGTCCCTGTCCTCTGGCTGTGTCCCCATGGCCGTGTCCCTGTCCCCATGGCCGTGTCCCTGTCCTCTGGCTGTGTCCCTGTCCCCCTGGCTGTGTCCCTGTCCCCCGGGCTGTCCCCATGGCCGTGTCCCTGTCCCCATGGCCGTGTCCCTGTCCCCATGGCCGTGTCCCCTGGCCGTGTCCCCATGGCCGGTGTCCCCTGGCCGTGTCCCCCTGGCCGTGTCCCCATGGCGGTGTCCCCAGGCTGCAGGAGCTGACCCTGTACAACCCCGAGCGCACCATCACGGTGAAGGGCTGCCCCGAGAGCTGCTGCCGCGCCGAGCAGGAGATCATGAAGAAAGTGCGCGAGGCCTACGAGAACGACGTGGCCGCCATGAGCGTGAGTGGGGCCGGCCGCGGGCATCCCAAAAACCCGGGCATCCCGTAAACCCGGGCATCCCAAAAACCCGGGCATCCGGGCATCCCAAAAACCCGGGCATCCCAAAAACCCGGCATCCCATAAACCCGGGCATCCCAAAAACCCGGGCATCCCAAAAACTCGGGCATCCCAAAAACCCGGGCATCCCAAAAACCCGGGCATCCCATAAACCCGGGCATCCCAAAAACCCGGCATCCCATAAACCCGGGCATCCCAAAAACCCGGGTATCCCATAAATCCGGCATCCCATAAACCCGGGCATCCCAAAAACCCGGGCATCCCAAAAACCCAGGCATCCCAAAAACCCGGCATCCCAAAAACCCGGCATCCCAAAAACCCGGCATCCCATAAATCCGGCATCCCATAAACCCGGGCATCCCATAAACCTGGGCATCCCTTCATCCCCGGCACCGTCCCGTGTCATCCCCGATCCCATTTCTACCCTCAGTTCAATCCCGCCCCATCCCCGATCCCGTTTCTCCTCTCAATCCAATCCCCCCTCATCCCTGATCCCGTTTCTACCCTCAGTTCATCCCGAATCCCATTTCTACCCTCAATCCAATCCCAATTCCCCCAATCCCATATTTTGATTCCCCTCAATTCAATCCAAATCTCCCTGACCCCGTATTTTGGTCCGCTCAGTTCAATCCCAGTCCCTGACCCACATTTTGGTGCCCTTGGTTCAGTCCCACCCCCTGACCCCACATTTTGGATCCCCCAGCTGCAGTCCCAACCCCTGACCCCACATTTTGGTGCCCCCAGCTGCAGTCCCACCCCCTGACCCCACATTTTGGATCCCTCAGCTGCAGTCCCACCCCCTGACCTCACATTTTGGTGCCCCCAGCTGCAGTCCCAGTCCCTGACCCACATTTTGGTGCCCTTGGTTCAGTCCCACCCCCTGACCCCACATTTTGGATCCCCCAGCTGCAGTCCCAACCCCTGACCCCACATTTTGGTGCCCCCAGCTGCAGTCCCAGTCCCTGACCCCACATTTTGGTGCCCCCAGCTGCAGTCCCACCTCATTCCCGGTTTGAACCTGGCCGCCGTCGGGCTCTTCCCGGCCTCCTCCACGGCCGTGCCGCCACCCCCGAGCGGCGTCTCTGGGGCCGCTCCCTACAGCTCCTTCCTGGTGAGTGACCCCGATCCCCGCGGGGACGATCCTGATGGAGCCCCTGGAATGGGCAGTGACCCCAGGACATTCCTGATGGAGCCCCAGGATGGGCAGTGACCCCCGGGACATTCCTGATGGAACCCCGGGATGGGCAGTGACCCCCAGGACATTCCTGATGGAGCCTCAGGATGGGCAGTGACCCCCAGGACATTCCTGATGGAACCCCGGGATGGGCAGTGACCCCCAGTGACCCCCAGGACATTCCTGATGGAGCCTCAGGATGGGCAGTGACCCCTGGGACATTCCTGATGGAGCCCCAGGATGGGCAGTGACCCCCAGGACATTCCTGATGGAGCCTCAGGATGGGCAGTGACCCCCAGTGACCCCCAGGACATTCCTGATGGAGCCCCGGGATGGGCAGTGACCCCCAGGACATTCCTGATGGAGCCCCAGGATGGGCAGTGACCCCCAGGATGGGCAGTGACCCCCAGGACATTCCTGATGGAGCCCCAGGATGGGCAGTGACCCCCAGGACATTCCTGATGGAGCCCCTGGGATGGACAGTGACCCCCAGGACATTCCTGATGGAACCTCAGGATGGGCAGTGACCCCCAGGACATTCCTGATGGAGCCCCGGGATGGGCAGTGACCCCCAGGACATTCCTGATGGAGCCCCAGGATGGGCAGTGACCCCCAGGACATTCCTGATGGAACCCTCAGGATGGGCAGTGACCCCTGGCAGCTCCCACTCCCAGCTCGGGGACATGAGACTGACCCCAAATAGTGACACTGACCCCAAACGATGGCAGTGACCCCAGGGTGACCCTGACCCCAATGGTGACAGTGTCCCCAAAGGTGACCCTGACCCCAGTGCTGGCAGTGACCCCGACCCCAAATGATGGCAGTGACCCCAAAGGTGACCCTGACCCCAAATGGTGGCAGTGACCCCAGTGGTGGCAGTGACCCCAGGTGACCCTGGCCCCGTCCCGCCCGCAGCCCCCCGAGCAGGAGACCGTGCACGTCTTCATCCCGGCGCAGGCGGTCGGGGCCATCATCGGCAAGAAGGGGCAGCACATCAAGCAGCTCTCGCGCTTCGCCAGCGCCTCCATCAAGGTGGGACGGCCCTCGGTGGCCTTTGGTGGCCCTCGGTGGCCCTTGGTGGCCTTTGGTGGCCTTTGGTGGCCCTCGGTGGCCCTCGGTGTCCCTCTGTCCCCATCTGTCCCGTTTTTCCCAGGAAAAGCCCCGGGAAGTCCGGGTGGGGCTGTAGCGCTGTGCCCATCCTGTGTCCATCCCGTGTCTGTCCCATCTGTGTTCTGTGTCTATCCCATCTCCACCCGTGTCTATCTATGTCCATCCCTGTCCATCCTGTGCCCATCCTGTGTCCATCCCATGTCCATCTGGTGTCCATCCCATGTCCATCCGTGTCTATCTATATGTCCATCCCTGTCCATCCCGTGTCCATCCCGTGTCCATCCGTCCATCCCGTGTCCATCCCGTGTCCATCCCGTGTCCATCCCGTGTCCATCCCGTGCCCACGCGTGTCGGTGCCGTTGCAGATCGCGCCGCCGGAGCCGCCGGACTCCAAGGTGCGCATGGTGGTGATCACCGGCCCGCCCGAGGCGCAGTTCAAGGTTGTCACCGCGGTCACCTCCCGGGGCTCGGGGTGTCCCGGCAGGGAGGGCAGCGGGGGGGCCCCACCCCACAGCTCGGGAATTCCGGGGCCGGAATTCCGGCCTTCCCAGGGGCCAAACGGGTTTGGGAATTCCAAAGAACCGGGATTTTACGGGATCCCAAATCCATGGGTGGAGCTTGGGGTGGGACATTCCCGACTCCGTCCCTCTCCAGGCACAGGGCAGGATTTATGGGAAGCCCCATCCCAAATGCAGGGATGGAGTTTGGGGTGGGACATTCCCGACTCCCTGCTCCCAGGAACCAAACGGGTTTGGAATTCCAAAGAAGCGGGATTTTACGGGATCCCAAATCCAGGAGTTTGGGGTGGGACATTCCTGACTCCGTCCCTCTCCAGGCACAGGGCAGGATTTATGGGAAGCCCCATCCCAAATGCAGGGATGGAGTTTGGGGTGGGACATTCCTGACTCCCTGCTCCCATGGGCCAAATGGGTTTGGGAATTCCAAAGAACTGGGATTTTACGGGATCCCAAATCCATGGGTGGAGCTCAGGGTGGGACATTCCCAACCCCCTGCTCCCAGGAACCAAACAGGTTTGGAATTCCAAAGAAGCGGGATTTTATGGGATCCCAAATCCATGGGAGGAGTTTGGGGTGGGACATTCCTGACTCCGTCCCTCCCCAGGCGCAGGGCAGGATTTACGGGAAGCCCCATCCCAAATCCATGGGTGGAGCTCAGGGTGGGACATTCCCGACTCCCTGCTCCCAGGGAGCAAACTGGTTTGGAATTCCAAAGAAGCGGGATTTTACGGGATCCCAAATGCAGGGATGGAGTCTGGGGTGGGACATTCCCAACTCCCTGCTCCCATGGGCCAAATGGGTTTGGGAATTCCAAAGAACCGGGATTTTATGGGATCCCAAATCCATGGGTGGAGCTCGGGGTGGGACATTCCCAACTCCCTGCTCCCATGGGCCAAACGGGTTTGGGAATTCCAAAGAAGTGGGATTTTACGGGATCCCAAATCCATGGGTGGAGCTCAGGGTGGGACATTCCCGACTCCGTCCCTCCCCAGGCGCAGGGCAGGATTTACGGGAAGCCCCATCCCAAATCCATGGGTGGCACTCAGGGTGGGACATTCCCAACTCCCTGCTCCCAGGAACCAAACGGGTTTGGGAATTCCAAAGAACTGGGATTTTACGGGATCTCAAATTCATGGGTGGAACTCCGGGTGGGACATTCCCGACTCCCTGCTCCCAGGGAAAAAATTGGTTTGGAATTCCAAAGAACCAGGATTTTATGGGATCCCAAATCCATGGGTGGAGCTCAGGGTGGGACATCCCCGACTCCCCGCTCCCATGGGCCAAACGGGTTTGGAATTCCAAAGAAGCGGGATTTTACGGGATCCCAAATCCATGGGTGGAGCTCGGGGTGGGACATTCCCGACTCCGTCCCTCCGCAGGCGCAGGGCAGGATTTATGGGAAGCCCCATCCCAAATGCAGGGATGGAGTTTGGGGTGGGACATTCCCGACTCCGTCCCTCCCCAGGCACAGGGCAGGATCTACGGGAAGCTGAAGGAGGAGAACTTCTTCGGGCCCAAGGAGGAGGTGAAGCTGGAGACGCACATCCGCGTGCCGGCCTCGGCCGCCGGCCGCGTCATCGGCAAGGGCGGCAAGACCGTGAGTGGGACGGGGCGGGATTCCCGGGAAAAGGGCCGGGATTCCCGGGAAAAGGGCCGGGATTCCCGGGAAAAGCGCCGGTATTCTCCGGAGGGCTGATCCCGCGTCCCGGCAGGTGAACGAGCTGCAGAACCTGACGGCGGCCGAGGTGGTGGTGCCGCGGGAGCAGACCCCCGACGAGAACGAGCAGGTCGTCGTCAAGATCATCGGGCACTTCTACGCCAGCCAGGTAGGGCCGGGGGATCCGGGGGGATCCGGGGGGATCCGGGGGGATCCGGGGGGATCCAGGGGGATCCTGGGATGATCCAGGGTGGTTCAGAGGGATCCTGGGGTGATCGTGGAGGATCCAGAGTGATCCAGTGGAGATCCGGGTTGATCTAGGGGTGATCCTGTGGTTCCCCAGAGCTTCCCCAGGAGTTCTCTATGAGTTCTCTGTGGGTTCTCCGAGGCTTTTCCAGAGATTCTCCAGGGGCTCTCCAGGGGTTCTCCAAGGCTTTTCCAGGGGTTCTCCAGGGGTTCTCCAAGGCTTTTCTGGGACTTCTCCAGGGGTTCTCCAGAGCTTCTCCAGGGGTTCTCCAGGGTTTCTCCAGGGGTTCTCCAAGGCTTTTCCAGAGCTTCTCCAGAGGTTCTCCAGCGGTTCTCCAGGAGTTCTCTAGGAGTTCTCTGTGGGTTCTCCAAGGCTTTTCTGGGGCTTCCCCAGGGGTTCTCCAGAGCTTCCCCAGGAGTTCTTTAGGAGTTCTCCGTGGGTTCTCCGAGGCTTTTCCAGGGGCTCTCCAAGGCTTTTCCTGGGGCTCTCCAGACCGCACAATTTGGGTCGTTATCCCGTGAATCCCGTCCGTCATTCCCAGCAAAAGCCACGGGAGAACCTCGGGAGAGGAGGAGCTGGATTGGGGTGGAGGTTTGGTGGGGAAGCCGGGACGGGGCCGGGATGGGGCCGGCATTCCATGGATCCCCGGCTGTCATTCCCAGATGGCGCAGCGCAAGATCCGGGACATCCTGGCGCAGGTGAAGCAGCAGCACCAGAAGGGCCAGAGCCAATCCCGCAGGAAATAGGGACCCCCCGGAGCCCAAATCCCGGGAAAACGAGGACACGGCATGGCCGGGCCGGGCTCCGAGTGCCGGGGAATCAGCGACCGCAGGGAGACAGGGATCGGGAATCCACAGGGATCGGGAATGGACAGGGATTGGGAATGGACAGGGATCGGGAATGTGCAGGGATCGGGAATGGACAGGGATCGGGAATGTGCAGGGATTGGGAATCCGCAGGGATCGGGAATGTGCAGGGATCGGGAATACACAGGGATCGGGAATGTGCAGGGATCGGGAATGGACAGGGATTGGGAATCCGCAGGGATCAGGAATGGACAGGGATTGGGAATGGACAGGGATTGGGAATGGAAAGGAATCGGGAATCCGCAGGGACCGGGAATCACTTCCTCAGGGATTGGGAATTTCAATCCCCAGCAGAATTGGGAATTCCATTGGGAATGGAACACCAGACATTTCCCCGCATTTTTTCCCTAATTTTTCCCATTTTCCCCCTATTTTTTCCCATTTTCCCCTCTTTTTTTCTCATTTTTCCCAATTTTCCCTATTTTTTACCAATGAAAATTCCCACTGTGGAAATGATCACCTTTCCTCATAATGAGGAAAATTAATCCTGGGAAAAACTTTGTCTTTTCACATCGGGAACAGCAATAAAACCACCCAAAAATGACCAAAAAACCCCCAAAAATGGGTAAAAGGGAAAAAAATCCCAGTTTTTTGGGGAAAAAACATGGAATTCCTCAACTCCATCATCATAATTTGGGAATTCTGTGCAGGATGGATTGGGGAGAGCTTGGCTGCTCATTCCCAAACCCATCCAGCGGGGAAAAAATTCCCAAAAACTTGGGGGCTGAAAATATTTGGGTTTTTTCCTGATTTAAGGAGGAAAAAATCCCCAAATTCCTCATTTCTGCAGGAAATTCCCAGTTCCCAAGAGAGCAAAAAGCGGATTTCAGGAATGGCAGCGGGCGCTGATTCCGGGTGTGGGGCTTGGAAGGATTTGGGATTTTGGGAATATTTTGGGAAGGGCCCGAAGCTGCTGCTTCCAGGAATTCCAGCCCCAAAAATGGGGATTTTCCAGGGTTTTCCCCCAAAATGGGAAGGGAAGGATGGGAAAGGAAAATTGGGATGGAATTGGAGGAAAAGCTGGAATGACCCCACAGGGACGGGGAAAAACGGAAATAAAAAGGAGATTCGGGAGGTTTTGGGAGAAAAAGGGGAAATTTGGGATGAGTTTGGAGGGACAGGAATGGCGGAAGGAAAGTTGGGATGTTCCCAGACAATGTGAAAAAGCGGGAATTTGGGGCAAAATGGGAAAAATGTGGGAAAAAAAAAGTGAAATCGGGATGAATTTTGAGCGAGAAGGGTGATGGGAGGATTCCCAGAAAAGACTAAAAATTGGGAATTTGGGGGAAAAAAGAGAAACTGGGATGAATTCTGAGGAAGAGGGAGGATGGAAGGGCTCCCAAATGAGGTTAAAAAGTGGGAATTTGGGAGAGAAAAAGTGAAATTGGGAGGAGATTTTAGGGCCGGGAGTGATGGGAGGAAAATCGGGATGAGACAAAAATCCGGGAATTCGGGACAAAGGCGGCCCCGGCCCTTCCCAGCCGGGAATTCCGGGGGAAAATCCTCCAAAAAAACCACCCGGAGCAGCAGGAAAAGCAGATTCAGGGAAGGGAAGGCGGCAGCGGGAATTCCCTGGAATTCTGCCAATCCAGGGCAACAAAAAAACCCGGGAATGACACAAAAACCACAAAAAAAAGCTCAAAAAAAGCTACCTCAGGTGTGATTACCTCAGCTATGGAATATTCTGATTTTTGGGGTTGTTTTCACTTTATTTTGGGGTTTTTTCGGGGCTTTTCGCTGATATTTTATATAAGAGGTGCTAACGGGGGAGATTTTATTTTTTTAATGAAAAAGAGAAAGAAAAAAGAGAATTTTTGGATTTTTTTTTTTTTTTTTAATGGAAGAATCCGGGTGTTCCGGAGACAACGCCGGGAATTCTGGACCTGGTGGAAAAGGTGGCAGCAGCTTCCTGATTTTTGATATTTTTATAACATTTTTGTCCCTTTCCCAGAGGAATTTCAGCTCTCAGGCATCGTCGCTCTCCAAAAAAATCCAGGAAAATTCCAAATTCGATTTTCCCAGTGGGAAAAACTTGAAATTTTTTTTTTCCTTCTTTTTTTTCCTTTTTTTAAAAATTTTTGATTAAAAAAAAATTAAATTTTTTTTTAAATTTTTGATTTTTCCGGGGATTTCAAGGGGGTAAAAACCAAACCCAAACCCGGCGCTGCCTGAAAGGATTTTCCCAATCGGATCCACCCAATCCGTGGATTTTTTGGGAATTTTTCCACTCCTGGGCAGTGTTTTCTATGCAAAGTGGGGTAAAAGAAGGTTTTTTTTATGCTGGTTTTATTTTCACACTCTCAGAAGCCATAAAGAGATTTTTTTCTATATTTGATAGAAAATTCCTAAAGATCCCAGAATCCCAAGGCGATCCCGACCTTCCCGGAATTCCGTCTTCTCCACTACGGTGCTGTGAAAATTAAAATGAAAAATGAAAAAACAAACAAAAAAACCCACAAAAAATTTATTTTAAAAGAGATTTTTTTTTTCCCTCCATTTTACCGAGGGAAAAAAAATAATTAAAGGAAGAAATGAATTAAAGAAAATTAATTATAAATGTAAATTTTTAAAAAAAGGGGAAAAAAAAAGATTTTTAAAAAAGGGAAAGTAATTTTAAGAAAGGAAAAATAATTTTTAAAAGAAAAAAAATAATCTACAAAAAAGGAAAAAAGTAATTTTAAAAAAGGAAAATGTATTAAAAAAGGAAAAAAATAATTTTTTAAAAAAGAAAAAAGCTTAAAAATATTAAAACTAATTTTTAAAAATGGAGGAGGAGGGAGATTAATTAATTAATTAATTAATTAATAATTAATTCCTTCATTAAGTGGGAGCCAAGTTTTATTCCCTACAAACGCACAGGGAGGAGGGAGAGGAGAATTCCTGACGGAGCCTGGCCAGGGATCAGCCTCTCCCTGCTCCAAAACCTTCACAGGGCGATTGTTCCTGGTGAAATCCCTTTTTTTGGGTCAAATCCCAATTTTTCTTGGTGAAATCCCATTTTTGCTTGGTGAAATCCCAATTTTTCTTGGTAAAATCCCTTTTTTTCTTGATAAAATCCACTTTTTTCTTGGTGAAATCCCGATTTTTCTCAGTAAAATCCCTTTTTTTTCTTGATAAAATCCACTTTTTTCTTGGTGAAATCCTGATTTTTCTCAGTAAAATCCTTTTTTGTTTTTTCCCCATTTTTTTGGCCCTGCAGGAAAATCCAACTTTGGATGAAATGTTCAGCAAAAAAATATTCCCAAATATCCCAAAGGAGCCAATTTTGGGGCTGTTTCCCCCCAGTCCTGTCCCCATCCCGAATATTTGGGATTGGGGAATGTGGGATCCCCCCTCCGGCTGGGGGGGAGTCCTGAGTTTTTATTCCCAAAAAAATTTTGGAGTGAAAGGAGCCGGATTTGGGCTCAGCAACTCCCGTCCCTTGGGGGCGTTTTCCTGGTTTTCCTTGGAATTTTTCCCAGGGAAAACGGTTTGGAATACTTGAAATTCCTGTTCCCGGCAAATCCCGACATCGGGAATCCCAAACTTTTCCCACCCCATCCCAAGGCAGCGCTAAAAACCGGGAACAGCCGTTCCCAAATCCCATCTCTGGGATCAATGGGAAGATCTCGACCTAAAATCCCAAAAATTCAGGGAATTTTCGGTGCTTTTCCCGCCCTTTTCCCACTCCCGCCTCCTGTCGGCGCTGTCGGAATTCCGAGGGAGAATTCCCAGAGGGAAATTTAATTTATATCCGAGAGATTCGTGGGAATGAAGAGACCTCGGAGCATCTCCCGCTCTTCTCTGGAAAAAGCTGGAAAATTGGGAAAAGCAGGAAAATGGGAATGAGACGGATCTGGCTTGGAATGGAAAACAGGAAAAATTCCCTAAAAATGGCAGGAAAATGGGAATGAGATGGATCCGGACTGGAATGGAAAAAACGAAAAATTCCCTTAAAATGGCAGGAAAATGGGAATGAGATGGATCCAGACTGGAATGGAAAAACCAGGAGAAATTCCCTAAAAATGGGAATGAGATGGATCCGGAGTGGAATGGAAAAACCAGGAGAAATTCCCTAAAAACAGCAGGAAAATGGGAATGAGATGGATCCAGACTGGAATGCAAAAAACAGGAGAAATTCCCTAAAAACAGCAGGAAAATGGGAATGAGATGGATCCGGACTGGAATGGAAAAACCAGGAGAAATTCCCTAAAAACAGCAGGAAAATGGGAATGAGATGGATCCGGAGTGGAATGGAAAAAACAGGAAAAATTCCCTAAAAACAGCAGGAAAATGGGAATGAGATGGATCCGGAGTGGAATGGAAAAAATGAAAAATTCCCTAAAAATGGCAGGAAAATGGGAATGAGATGGATCCGGACTGGAATGGAAAAAACAGGAAAAATTCCCTAAAAACAGCAGGAAAATGGGAATGAGATGGATCCGGACTGGAATGGAAAAACCAGGAGAAATTCCCAGCCCCACAGCAGCTCCTCCAGCCGCTCCCTCTGTGCCAGGAAATTCAGGGAAAAGCGGAATTTAGGGAAAAGCGGAATTCGGGATGATTGCCGCCAGCAGCTCCGGGGGGGTTTCATTCCCCACCGGAGGGAAAATCCCGAAGAAATCTTGGAACAGGAACTCCCTCCCCGCTGGAATTTCCGTTTCCTGGGAATTCACAGGGATTTGGGGTCAAGTTGGGTTTTTTTAGGGCAGAAAAAAGGAAAAGTTCTTATAAAAAAAAGGAAAAGCAGGAAAAGCTCAGCGGTGCCAGGAAAAAAAGGGATTTTGTGAATTCCCAGCTCCAAGTTTTTTGGGATTTTGGGGTTTTCAGACTCCGAGGAAATCGCTCCGGGATGGGATTTGCTCCAAGACTTTTCCTTCATTGAATTCCTTTGGTTTTTCATCCCTATCCCTGCTGCTCCACCCAACACTTTTTTGGGATATTGTGGGAATTTTCCCAGAAAATTGTGGAATTTTTTTTTCCCTTTATTTTGGATTTATTTCTTTGGCTCATTCCCAATTCCCACTTTTTTTCTCCTGTCACCGTTCGTTTCGTCCGGATGGAATCTCCTGGATCCCGGGAAATCCCTTCGCTCCCGGGAGGGCACGGCTGGATCCCGACATCCCTGGGAGGCTTTTCCCAGGATTTTGGCCGGGATTTATTCTGGATTCGCTCCGGGAATGGCAGCGCTGGAGCTTGGTTGGATTTTTCCACGCGGATCGACCTCGGAATGATTTGGAAAATCCAGTCCAGGCTGGAATTTCTTGGGAATTCCCACAGTGGGGAGAGCCCCCATTCCCTAATCCAGCTTTTCTCCGAGCTTTATTTGGATTTTTCCCGCCTTTTCTGGCAGAGGAGATTCCGGAACCATCCGGAGCCTCTTCCAACCTGGATTTTTTTCCTGGTTTTTATTTTTTTTTGGGGGAAGCGCTTCCAGCTGGGATCACACACCTGGAACTACCTCAGAGCCGCAGGGATCTTCCTGCTGGAGGCGGAATTTTGGGATCGCTCCGAGGAGGACAAGGAGCCGTGCGGAAGACTCTGGAACATTCCAGGAGCGGGATGAATTCCTGGATCCCAGCATCGGGAGGGTTTTTGGGATCCTGGGAATGGGATGAATTTTTGGGGGAGGGAATTTTCAGGGCGGGAAGAGCTGATCCCGAGCAGGGAACTCCTCCTCTCCCACGGCTGATCCCAGGAAATCCGCGGGATCGAGCGGCAGCAGGGCGGGAATTCATCCTCAGGGATCCGCGACCGTCTCCTCGGACGCGCATCCGGCCTCGCCGGGATCCAGAATTCCTTGGAATTCCAGAAGCAAACTCGGCCTTAAGGCAGGACCCCGCTGCTCCGGATTTGGGATCCGTGAAATCCCGGGAAACAGGAGGGGAGCGGGAGATGATTCCGGGAGTCTGGAATGTGCAGCAGCGCCCACGGAGCCGGGAATGGTCCCAGGAACGATCCGGGAATGATCCCAGGAATGATCCCAGGAACAATCCAGGAATGATCCCAGGATGATCTGGGAATGATCCAGGAACGATCCCAGAACGATCCTGGAATAATCCCAGAATGATCCCAGAACAATCCGGGACTGATCCTGGAATGATCCCAAGAATTATCCTGGAATAATCCCAGGATGATCCTGGGAATGATCCCAGGAGTGATCTGAGAATGATCTGGGAATGATCCTGGGAATGATCTTGGAAATGATCCCGGGAACAATCCAGGAATGATCCCAGGATAATCTGGGAATGATCCCGGAATGATCCTGGAATAATCCCAGGAACGACCCCGGGAATAGTCCCAGAATGATCCCAGAACAATCCCAGACTGATCCTGGAATGATCCCAAGAATTATCCTGGAATGATCCTAGGAATGATCCTGGGAATGACCCCGGGAACAATCCTGGAATGGTCCCGGAATGATCCAGGAACGATCCCAGAACGATCCTGGAATAATCCCAGGAACAACCCCGGGAATGGTCCCAGAATTGTCCCAGAACAATCCCGGACTGATCCTGGAATGATCCCAAGAATTATCCTGGAATGATCCCAGGAAAGATCCTGGGAATGACCCCGGGAACAATCCTGGAATGGTCCCGGAATGATCCAGGAACAATCCCAGAACGATCCTGGAATAATCCCAGGAACAACCCCAGGAATGGTCCCAGAATATCCCGGACTGATCCTGGAATGATCCCAAGAATTATCCTGGAATGATCCCAGGAATGATCCCGGGAACGATCCTGGAATGATCCCAGGATGATCCAGGAACGATCCCAGGAATCCTCATCCACCCCCAATCCCGATTTTTTATCTACCTCTTAGCCATAGGTGTCTCTAGGTAGGGGCGACTCCCCAGGCGTAGTTTTAGGGAGAAAAGGAAAATTAAATTTAAAAAAAAGAATTAAAAAAAGTTTAAAAAATATTTTTAAAAAGTTTTAAAAAAGTAAAAAAAAAAAAAAAAAAAAAAAAATCTACACTTTTTCCAAAGAAAACGTTCTTTAAAAAAAAAAAATAAATAGGATTTTAAAAAAATAGGATTTAAAAAAATTAGGATTTATGGGATTGCTTTCCCTTGGGGAGAGTGGTTTTTGAGTCCTTGGAAGCTCCAGACCTCACCAGTCCCAGATTTGGGCTGTGACTGATTTTATTTTTATTTTTGTCTTTATTTTTATTTTTAATATTGATTTTTTTTTTTCCCTTGGATTTTTCCTCTTTCCTTCTCACCCCTCCGGCCTCCCCGCAGGACTGGGGGAATCCAAGCTGATAATTTGGGTTTTTTCCTATTTTTCCAATGGTTTGGGTTTTTTTTTTTGAGGTGATGGCAGCAGGGGGGGAGGGGGGTGGAGTGAATTTTGGGAGCATCCAAAGGTGCTGCTTTTCCCAGGAAATTTCAGGCTCTTTAGGGAAAAATTGTGATTTCTGGGATGTAGTTTTGCCTCTTTTTTGAGTTGTTTTCACCTTTTTTGCCCCTCTTACCTCTCCTGATCCACGTCCTTCCCTTTTCCCGGGATTTGGGATGGATGCAGGCTCCATTCCTTTTCCGGGGAGAAGGGTTTTCCTTATTATTTTAATTTTTTTTTGGCCACAAATCGCTTTATTTCCACTGTTTCGCTGTGAAAAAAATAAAAGAGCAAAAACAGAGAAAGAAGCAAAAAAAAAAAAATCCAAGTGTTTGTGTGGATTTGTGGGATTGGGGCAGGAAAAAGGGGAAAAGAAAAAATAAAGGGGACATTTAAAATTGAAAGGGAGAAAATAGAGGGGAAATAGGAAAATAAAAGAGGAAAAAGTGGGAGGGGGAAAAAATAAGAGGAGAAACTGAAAAAAAATAAATTGAGGGGAAAATAAAGAGGAAAAAATAGAGAGGAAAGAGAAATAACAGAGGTAATAAAGGGAACAGGGATAAATAAGGGGAAATTAGGAAATATAGGGGGAAATGGAAGAGAAATAAAGGGAAATAGAAGAAAAAACTTTGAAAAATGGAAAATAAGAGGGGGAAAATAAAGGGGAAGGCAAGAAGAAAAGGGGGAATAGAGGATAAATAGAAAAAGAAATAAGAACTGGAGGAGAAAAAGGAATTAAAAGGAGAACGGAGGGGAAATAGAGAAATTAAAGGGAAACTGAGAGCAGATGAAAAATAAATGGGGAAAAGTTAAAGGAGAAATAGAAAATTAAATGAAGGGAAATGGTGGGGGGGAAAGGGAAATAAAGGGAAAATAGATAAATAAAATGGGGAAATAGTGGGGAAAAGGAGAAATAAAAGGGGGATAAGGAAAGGGGGAATGGAGGGAAAACATGAATAAATGGAAAATGAAGTGGAAAAAAAAAAAAACAAAGTGGGAAAGCGAGGAAAACAGAGAAAGAAAGGGGGAGAAATAAAAGAAAAACCCCAGAGGAATTAAGGCAGAAATAAGTATAAAAATAAAAGAATTAGTTAAAAAAAACAGAAATAAAAATCAGCGTGCCGGGCACGGCGGCTCAAACGGCGGAGCTCGGGGCCGGTCCGGAGGGTGGAACGGCGGCGGCCGCGGGATGGCGGGAGGGTCGGAGGGGCGGGAATGTCGGGAATTCCCGGGCGGGAATGTCGGGAATTCCCGGGATTACCGGAATTCCGGGATCGGCGGGACCGGCGGGATCGCGGGATCGGCAGCGGGAGGGCGCGCGGCGCCTGCCCGTACACCCAGCGGTCCCATGGTGTAATGGTTAGCACTCTGGACTTTGAATCCAGCGATCCGAGTTCAAATCTCGGTGGGACCTCGCGTTTCTTTTTGCCGGCGGCCGCCGCCGCGGGGCCGAGGAGGGGAGAGGGAAAGAGCGGAGCAATGCGGGAGACACCGCGGGGCCGCACCAGGAGCGCCGCGCCCGCACCGGGCCCGCCGCGCTCCATTTTGCGCGGGGGCGCCCGCGCGTCACGGCGCAGGCGCGGGGGAAAGGCGGCGGATGGAAGCCCGAGGGCGCTCCCCGTGTTCCGCCGCTGATTGGCTGAGCAGCATGTCACTCTGGAAATCCTGTATTTCTATTGGCTTGCTGCGCGCTTCGCCCCGCCTTCCACCGACGAGGCCCGGAGCCCTCCGGGGAGACGCGCCGTCTCCGTTTTCCATCGCTGATTGGCTGTTCGGTCTGTCACTCTCACATGCTCTTATTTTTATTGGCTGAGCGCGCTCTTTGTACCGCCTCCTTCTTCCGCAATCCGTATCCCCGGAGGGGTTTCGCGCCCTCCGTTTCCCATCTCTGATTTGCTATATCTGCTGTCACTCTCACAATATCGCGTTTCTATTGGCTGAGACCTTACTTCGCACCGCCTCCCACTTCAGCGAGCCCTCAGGAGCGGGTCCGCGCCCTCCGTCCTCCACCGCTGATTGGCTGAGCGGATGTCACTCTGCCAATGGCGCGTTGCTATTGGCTGGGAGCGCGCTTCGGCCCGCCTCCCCCTCAGCGGTGCGGAGCCGTCATGGCGGGTTGGAGCCCCTGAGGCGCGGCAGGGCCGCCATGGCCCCGAATCCCCTCAGGGGCGGCTTAGGCGGCTCTGACGCGCTTCCCGGCGTTTAACGGCGATTAACGGGTCAATCCCTCCGGCCACAGCCCGGTTATCACCCTGGATTAGGGGCAGCTCATGCCCTGGCGGGTCTGATCGCCTCAAAGCCATGGAAGGAATATCTGATTTTTAATTTTTATTTTTAACCTAAATAGCCTGAAATGTCTTGGAGCAGTGGCCAAGAAGAAGAAGCGGCGCCTTTGGGTGCGCCCCAAATTAATTATGGGGCATCTCACATTCGGCTCCGTCGCCTCCCAAAAAAACCCCACAAGCTCCATCAAAAAATGGGATTCTGCACTCCCAAAAAAACCCAAACAAACAAACAAAAACCCCAAAACCAACAAAAAAACAACCACCAAAAAAACCCCCAGCAGAACCATCAAAAACCCCAGCAAAAAGCAGGATCCAGCCCCACTGTGCACCCAAGTTTTAAAGGCAAAAAGAGGTGGAGAATTAAAAGAATAATGTCAGTCAGAGCCGGCTCCGCAGCTGTAACGAATAAAATCCACCCCAGAGAGGAAATAAAACCCCACAAATTCTGGTTTTTGGAGAGTATTTCCTGCAAGAAACGGAGGCCGTGGCGGTGCTGGCGGGTTTATTGAGCATCTGCGAGAAAGAACAAAACCACCTCAATTTTGGGGGATTTTGGGGGATTTTGGGGGATTTGGGGGCAGGGAGGGGGTTCTGGCAGCACTGGGGGCTCCTGGCTGGAGGAAAATCCGATTTTTCTGATTTCTTCTCTCTTTTTAGGGTGTGGGGAGCGCCTTTGCCCCGCGGCGAGGCTGAGCAGGGATCCAGAGGCAGGAAAATTCCAGGTGGGATCCAGAGGCAGGAAAATTCCAGGTGGGATCCAGAGGCAGGAAAATTCCAGGTGGGATCCAGAGGCAGGAAAATTCCAGGTGGGATCCAGAGGGATTTCCTTGGGATTTAACCGGGCAGGAGGAGAGGAAGAGCGGGACAGCACCTCGAGCCTCCCAAATCCAAATTTCTGCTGCCTCTCTTTTGGGGTCGATGGTCTTGGGGCAGTTTTGGGAGAGTTTTTCCTCAAGATTAAATGGAAAAAAAAAAAAAAAAAAAATAAAATCCTGGAATTGGATTTTTTAAAAAAAGCAAAACGTCTCCAAACAGCGAACCAACCCCACGGAATTCGGGAGCTGGCTGTGCCTGGGTTGTTTTTTTGGGTTTTTTTCTGTCAAGCCGGGGATTAAATTTTAATTCATCCCAAAAACCCCCCTGGGAGCAGCAGGACCGCAGCCCTGCGGAGCTCAGGGATGCTGCAGGTGGTCACACCGCTGATTTTCCAGAAGTTTTCCCCAGAGAAATCCAGAAAAAAAGGAGGTGAGGAGGAGATGAGGCGGTGCTGGTGGCATCTCCCTCCTTCCCAGCGGGAATCGCGGGGATTTTGGGGATAAAGCACAAAGCTGGGATCCCCGCGGGGCTCCGAGCTGAACATGTGAAAATGCAGAAGTTTTGCCCTTTTTTTTAGTTTCTTTTTCTTTTTTTTTAATTTATTTTTTGCTCGTGGGAAACCCAAGCTCAGCTGCAGTGCCCCAGCGGCATTGGGGTGGGGTGGGGCTTTGGGGGTGTTTAACTATTTTAATTTTATTTTCACGGTTATTTCTCCTCCTCCTCCCGCCGGGGTGGGACTGGGGGGCGCGGGCCGGGCTCAGCTGATGGCGCAGCCGCCCTTCTCCTTGAAGGGGTTCTTGTCCTCGGGGACGCCCTTCAGCAGCGGGTCCTCGCCCGCCATCGACTCGATGAACTCCTTCATCTCCTTGCCCGTCTTGGACACCTGCCCGGGGCGAGAGGCGGCTGCGGGGGATCCACCCGGGGATCCAACTGGGATCCACCAGGGAAATCTGCACTGGGATCCACCATGGGATCCGCCCGGGGATCCACCATGGGGATCTGCCCAGGGAATCCACCCAGGGATCTGCCAGGGGACCCAGCTGGGATCCACCAAGGGAATCTGCATGGGGAATCCTCCCAGGGATCTGCCAGGGGATCCACCAGGGGAATATGCACGGGAATCCTCCCAGGGATCCACCAGGGGATCCACCAGGGACATCTGCACGGGGATCCACCAGGGGATACGCCATGGAATCTCCCCAGGGATCTACCAGGAGATCTTCACAGGGATCCACCAGGGAATACACCCAGAGATACGCCAGGGGATCTGCACGGGGGATCTGCCCGGGGATCTGCCCGGGGATCCACCAAAGGATCTGCCCAGGGATCCACCAGGGGAATCTGCATGGGGCTCTGCCCAGGGAATCCACCCAGGGATCTGCCAGGGGATCCGACTGGGATCCATCAATGGAATCCACCCAGGGGTCCACCAGGGGATCCACCTGGGATCCACCAGGGGATCTGCCCAGGGACCCACCAGGGAAATCTGCGTGGGGATCTGCCCAGGGAATCCACCCAGGGATCCTTCAGGGGATCTGCCCAGGATCCACCATGGGAATCTGCCCAGGGAATCCACCCAGGGATCTGCCCAGGGATCCAGCTCAGGGATCCACCCAGAGAATCCAGCCCAGGGATCCACCTGGGGATCCGGTCAGGGGTCCATCCCAGGGATCTGGCTTGGGGATCTGCCCTGGGGATCCAGCCCAGGATCCGGCCCGGGGTCGCAACAGGCGAGCGGGACACGGGGCTGGGCTGGGGCGTCCCTAAACCACCCCCGGGGCATCCCAAATAATCCCTGGGGACTCCCAAAACCGCCCCTGGGATGTGCCAGAGCATCCCAAATAATCCCTGGGGCACCCCAGAGCATCCCAGAGCTTTAGGGGCAGCGTGGGTGCTCCTGCCTGGCTCTGGGGGTGGGTTTCAGGCCCGGGGCTCCTTTCCTTCCCTGGGGTGGATTTCAGGCCCGGGGTTCCTTTCCTTCCCTGGGGTGTTATTTTTAAGGGCCCGGGGTTCTTTTCCTTCCCCCGTTTCCCTCCCTGCAGTGAGGAACTCACCATCTGCCTCTCGTTCTTCACCTCCTTCTTCAGCTGGTCCAGCTCCATCTTCAGCAGCTCCTTCTCGGTCATGTCCTGAGCCATGGTGCCCTGGAACTGAGGGATCATTTCAGTTATTGATTTTTGGGATCATTGCTGCGTGCCAATAGGATTGTGACCCCCCCAGCATCCCTGAGCGCTGCCTGGGAACATCTCCCAGCTTTTCTGAGGAACGAAACACATCTCAGCTTTCATTTCGCACGGCTCCTCCATCGCTCTGAGCTCCGTTATTTGCGCTCCCCTGAGAGTTTTTGGGGTGTGGAGGTTGAGGAAACACAAATAATTTTTTTCCCAAAGCAACCCCCGTGTGCCCAGCCATCCCTGGGGACACCGGCAGCCCCAGGAGCTCCCAAAACCGGGGGGAAAACCCCCAAAACACTCACCTGGGGCTGCTCAGAGCCCCATGGAGGGCAGCGGGGAGGCTGCGGGCCAGCTCTGCGCCCCCAGAGCAGCAGATGTCCGGCTGCTGAGCTGATAATGGACTCAGCGGCCTAAGCCGGTCAGGTGCTGGGAATTAGCCCCAAAGTCCGGCCTAATCGGGCCGGGAGGGGCTGGGCCGGGCTGGGAGGGCAGGGGGGGTCCGGCCGGGACAGCCCCGGAGACCCCCAGCCCTGCCCCGGAGACCCCCGGCCCTGCCCTGGTGCCCGGCCTGGGGTGGCCGAGCCTGGGGTGTCCGAGCCTGGGGTGTCCGAGCCTGTGGCATGTCTGGATCCTGCCCGGAGTGGCAGGAGTGACCCCTGGGAGTGACCCCTGGGAGTGACCCCTGGGAGTGACCCCTGGGAGTGACCCCTGGGAGTGACCCCATGGGAGTGACCCCTGGGAGTGACCACGGGAATAAGCCCTGGGAATGATCCCTGGGAAAGATCGCCGGGAGTGACCACTGGGAGTGACCCCTGTGTTGACCCCTGGGAGTGACACCAGGACTGACCCCTGGAGTGACCCCTGGCAGTGACCCCAGGAGTGACCCATGGGAGTGACCCCTGGGAGTGACCCCTGGGAGTGACCCCTGTGTTGACCCCTGGAAGTGACACCAGGACTGACCCCTGGAGTGACCCCTGGGAGTGACCCCTGGGAATGACCCCAGGACTGACCCCGGCACTGACCCCAGGGCTGACCCCGGCACTGACCCCCGGGGGTCGCGGCTGTTCCCCCGGTTCGGGCGGGTCCCGGGCTCGGATCAGTGCCGGGCTCGGATCGGTCCTGCTCGGATCGGTGCCGGGCTCGGATCGGTCCCGCTCGGATCGGTGCCGGGCTCGGACCTGTCCCGGGCTCGGATCGGTCCCGGCTCGGATCGGTCCCGGCTCGGATCGGTGCCGGGCTCGGATCGGTGCCGGGCTCGGATCGGTGCCGGGCTCGGATCGGTCCCGGGCTCGGACCGGTGCCGGGCTCGGATCGGTCCCAGGCTCGGATCGGTCCCAGCTCGGGGCGGTGCCGGGCTCGGATCGGTCCCGGCTCGGATCGGTCCCGGCTCGGATCGGTCCCGGGCTGGGATCGGTCCGGGCTCGGATCGGTCCCGGGCTCGGATCGGTCCCGGGCTGGGATCGGTGCCGGCTCGGACCGGTCCCGGGCTCGGATCGGTGCCGCGGGGATCAGGAATTCCATCATTTCCCCCGGGATGGGCTCAGGAAGGGCCCGGCCCGGGCTGCGGACACCGGACACCGGACACCGCCCGGGCGGCCCCGGGAAGCACCGGGGGTGGAGCGGGAGCAGCGGAGAGCCCGGAGGGGCTGTCCGAGCCCCGGGAAGTGGGAACTTCCCGCGGGGACGTGGAACGTCCCGGGTGAAGGACGCGCTGCCGCCAGCCCGGGCACCTCGGGGGTCACCGAGCACCGGGAGAGGCACCGGGGCTGTCCCGGCATCCCGGAACATTCCCCGCCCTCCCCTTCCCTTCACCGGGCGGGCGGGGCGCGCTGCCGAGGGAGTTCCTGAGGGTTCCTGAGAGTCCCGAGCGTTCCTGGATGTGCCCCGGCCCCGGGTGGTGGGCACAGGGGGCAGAGACGGGGCCGGGATCCTTCTGGGGTCGGGGTCCTTCTGGGGTAGGGGTCCTTTAAGGGTCAGGATCCTTCTGGGATCAGGATCCTTTTAGGGTCAGGATCCCTCTGGTGTCAGAATCCTTCTGGGATCTGGGTCCTTTTAGGTTCAGGATCCTTCTGGGGTCTGGGTCCTTTTAGGGTCAGGATCCTTTTGGGGTCTGGACCCTTCTGAGGTCAGGATCCTTCTGGGGTCTGGATCCTTTTAGGGTCGTGATTCTTCTGGGATCAGGATCCTTTTGGGGTCAGGATCCCTCTGGTGTCAGGATCCTTTTGGAGTCTGGATCCTTCTGGTGTCGGGATCCTTTAAGGGTCAGGATCCCTCTGGTGTCAGGATCCTTTCGGGCTCTGGATCCCTCTGGTGTCGGGATCCTTTTGGACTCGACCCCTCTGGTGTCGGGACCCTTTGGGGCTCTCTCCCGCCCGCATCCCCGGTTCCCGGTTCCCGGTTCCCGGTTCCCGGTTCCCGGTGCCCCGCACCGCTCCGCGCTGCCATCCCCGCCGCCCCGGGGCCGTTGTCCCCACGGCCGGTCCCCGCGGCTCCCTCGCCGCCGTGCGGGGCGGGGTGTCCCGGGTGGGACGGGGACACGGCGGCGCCCGCGGGCCCCGCGTCAGCACCGGCCGCGGCTTCAAAGCGCGGCCCCGGGAGGAAGCGGGAGCGGAGCCCGGCGCGATGTCGGAGCTGGAGCGGCTGCGGCAGAGCGACATCCCCGCGGGCCGGCAGCGGCTGCGGGAGCAGCACGGCAACCTGCTGCGGGTGGCCGACTACTGCCACGGCAACTACCTGCAGGTCAGCCCGGGCCGGGCCGGGCCGGGCCGTGCCAGCCCCGCGGGGCGGCTGCCGGAGCCGTGCCCCGGGAGCCCGAGCATCCATCCCCGCCGGCTCCCGGCCCCTGTGCCCGGTGCTGTCTGCCCGTGCCTCGGGCTCTCCTCTGCTCCCCAGCGGCTCCCGCAGAGGTTTGGGGTGCGGGGAGGGTTCTCCGGGGCTCGGGGGAGCCTTGGCACAGGGCTGGGGCTGGCAGCGGGTCACAGGGGCTGGGAGGTGGCACCTGGCAGGGCCTGGGAGGGCAGGGCGAGCGTGGGGCTCTGCTGGTGCATCCTCCTCATCCTCATCCTCCTCCTCCTCCTCCTCCTCCTCCTCCTCCTCCTCCTCCTCAAATGCCCCTCGGGCCCTCCCTGCCGGGCAGGGGTCCCGCTGTGCCCGCCAGGGCCGTGGCCGTGGCCCCTGCCGGCCCCGAAGGGCCCGGAGCCAGCGGGGCAGAACCGGAGGGAAATGAGCTGAGCTATTCCGAGAGATGAGAGCCCCGGTTCGGCTGAGAGAGCCCCGGTTCGGCTGAGAGAGCCCCGGTTCGGCTGAGAGAGCCCCGGTTCGGCTGAGACAGCCCCGGTTCGGCTGAGACAGCCCCGGTTCGGCTGAGAGCCCCGGTTCGGCTGAGACAGCCCCGGTTCGGCTGAGACAGCCCCGGTTCGGCTGAGAGAGCCCCGGTTCGGCTGAGAGAGCCCCGGTTCGGCTGAGAGAGCCCCGGTTCGGCTGAGAGAGCCCCGGTTCGGCTGACACAGCCCCGGTTCGGCTGAGACAGCCCCGGTTCGGCTGAGACAGCCCCGGTTCGGCTGAGAGCCCCGGTTCGGCTGAGACAGCCCCGGTTCGGCTGAGACAGCCCCGGTTCGGCTGAGAGAGCCCCGGTTCGGCTGAGACAGCCCCGGTCCGGCTGAGACAGCCCCGGTTCGGCTGAGAGAGCCCCGGTCCGGCTGAGACAGCCCCGGTCCGGCGGAGAGCCCCGAGCCCCGGCCCGGCTGGTGCCACCCCGCTGTCCCACGCGTGGCTCCCCGGCTGTCCCCAGCGCTGGCCGGAGGCTGGGCCGGGCACTCGGTGCCCTCGGGACGTGCCGGGACATCATTCCCGGCAGGAATCCCGGGGCACCCCCGGACCCCCCGCCCGCCGTGCACCGGGGGAAGCGTGAGGCATTTGGAAAGCAGAAGGAAACCCGTCCCACGGCCGCTGTGTCCCCCGCAGGCCGGCGACAAGAGGAAGGCGCTGGAGGAGACGATGGCCCTGAGCACGCAGTCCCTGGCCAGTGTCACCTACCAGGTCAGCAGCGTGGCCACCGCCTTCCTGCGGCTGCTGGAGCTGCTGGCGGCCCAGCTGCGCCGCGTGGAGAGCGACATCGCCTGCGTGGCACAGGTGGGACCGGCCCGGGTGGCTTTGGGTGGCCCCGGGGGGCTGCGGACCCTCCCTGGGCAGGAATGGGGCTCGGGGGAGTTTTCCCGTCACAAATCCCAAATTGCCTCTGGATCTCGGAGCTCAGAGCGTGGCCCCGTCCTGCTGCAGAGTCCCCGTGGCCACCCGGCCTCTTCCCGGCTCCAGGGTCACCCCGAGCCTGTCCAGCACGGGAGGGGACAGCACCCGGTGGCTCCGGGGGTGGCTGACCCCTCACGTCCCCCCATTCCTGTCTTTGGGACACTGTGGGGACACCGGGGCATGGCAGGAGCTGCCCCACAGCAATCCTGACCCCCATCCCCTCCCTCCCTGCCCCACAGCAATCCTGACCCCCATCCCCTCCCTCCCTCCCTCCCGGGGCTGGCAGGGACGGTGGCACCCCGGGGAGGGGGGGGGACAGCCTGGGATGGCACTTTGGGGACAGCGTCACCTCGGCAGAGCGTGGACATGCACGAGGAGAAGGTGTCGCGCCGCGAGATCGGCGCGCTGGCCGTCACCAGGCGGTTCCTGAGCTGCCAGAAGGTCGTGGCCCCCCCAAATCCCCCCGTGCTGGAGCCCTACCACAGGAAACCCCTCAACTTCAGCGCGCTGGACGACATCGGCCACGGGGTCAAGGTCAGCGCCGGGGTCCCACAGGGGCTTGGGTGGCACTTCGCTGTCCCCCGTGTCCCCAGCGCTCCCTGAGGGGTGCACGGGTGGCTCAGACCCTCCTCCGTGGGGCAGTGGGGTCTGCCCGTGCCCACCCAGCTCTGGGGCCTGGCGCCCCACAGAGCCTTTCCCAGCGGGGCTTTGGGAGCCTCTGAGCCCCACGGAGCCGTGCCCAGCTCTGAAAGGCTGTCCACGAAAGGGTTTTGGAGGTCTCACAGCCCCACGGATCCTTCCCCGCTGCGGAAATCCCCCACGGGAGGGTTCAGAGGCGTCCCGGCCCCACAGATCCTCCCCCATTCCAGAAAACCCCCATGGGAGCGGGTTCAGAGGCCTCCCAGCCCCACGGGAGGGTTCAGAGGCCTCCCAGCCCCACAGAACCTCCCCACACTCCAGAAAACCCCCACGGGAGGGTTCAGAGGCGTCTCAGCCCCACAGAACCTCCCCCACTGAAGAAATCCCCCACGGGAGGGGTTCAGAGACCTCTCAGCCCCACAGAACCTCCCCCCACTGCAGAAATCCCCCATGGGAGGGGTTCAGAGGCTTCCCAGCCCCACAGATCCTCCCCCACGGGAGGGTTCAGAGGCTTCCCAGCCCCACAGAACCTCCCCCACTGCAGAAATCCCCCACGGGAGGGTTCAGAGGCCTCCCAGCCCCACAGAACCTCCCCCACTGCAGAAATCCCCCACGGGAGGGTTCAGAGGTGTCCCAGCCCCACAGAACCTCTCCCACTCCAGAAATCCCCCATGGGAGGGTTCAGAGGCCTCCCAGCCCCACGGGAGGGTTCAGAGGCCTCCCAGCCCCACAGATCCTCCCCACACTGCAGAAATCCCCCACGGGAGGGTTCAGAGGCGTCCCAGCCCCACAGAACCTCCCCCATTGCAGAAATCCCCCACAGGAGGGTTCAGAGGCGTCCCGGCCCCACAGATCCTCCCCCACGGGAGGGTTCAGAGGCCTCCCAGCCCCACAGGAGGGGTCAGAGGCCCCCCAGCCCCACGGGCCGGGGAAGTGGCCCCGCGGTGGCCGCGGTTCCCACGGTGCCGCTGCCTCGTGCCGCCCCCGCGGCCCCGGCGGCTCCTTCCGCTCCCCCGAGCCTGGGGCCACTTCCCTTTTTGGGGGGAATGTCACAGCCCTGGGGCGCCCGAGGTCACGGGGCAGGGATGTCACCTGCGCGTGTCCCTGTGTCTGTGTGTCCCCGTGTCCCTGTGTTGCCATGTCCCCATGTCCCCATGTCCCCGTGTCCCTGTGTCCCCATGTCCCCATATCCCCGTGTCCCGTGTCCGTGTCCCGTGTCCCGTGTCCTGTGTTCCATATCCCCGTGTCCCGTGTCCCATGTCCCCGTGTCCCGTGTCCGTGTCCCGTGTCCCGTGTCCCCATATCCCCGTGTCCCTGTGTCCCCATATCCCCATGTCCCCGTGTCCCCGTGTCCCGTGTCCCCATGTCCCCCATATCCCGTGTCCCGTGTCCGTGTCCCATGTCCCATGTCCCGTGTCCGTGTCCCGTGTCCCGTGTCCCGTGTCCGTGTCCGTGTCCCGTGTCCCAGGACACCAGCACGCAGCTGTCCCGCACCGGCACCCTGGCTCGGAGAAGCGCCAAATCCTGCTCGGCACAGGCCGGGGGAGCGCCGGGGTGAGACGGGCCGGGGGGCGCGTGGCCCTGCGATCCCATTGATCCCATTGATCCCATCCTATCAATCCCATCCCATCCTATCCCATCCCATTGATCCCAACTCATCCCTTCCCACTGATCCAAATCCATCCCATCCCATCCCATTGATCCCATTGATCCCATTGATCCCATTGATCCCATCAATCCTGTTCCATCCCATTGATCCCATTGATCCCATTGATCCTAACTCATCCCATCCCATTGATCCCAACTCATCCCATCCCACTGATCCAAATCCATCCCATCCCACTGATCCCATTGATCCCATCGATCCCATTGATCTCATCCTATCAATCCCATCCCATTCTATTGATCCCATTGATCCCATCCCATTGATCCCATCCCATTGATCCCATTGATCCCATTGATCCCATCCTATCAATCCCATCCCATTCTATTGATCCCATTGATCCCATCCCATTGATCCCATTGATCCCATCCCATCCCATCCCATTGATCCCATCCCATCCCATTGATCCCATTGATCCCATCCTATCAATCCCATCCCCTCCCATCCCATCCCTTGATCCATCCCACCCATTGATCCCATCCCACCCATTGATCCCATCCCACCCATTGATCCCATCCCGTGGATCCCATTGATCCCGTTGATCCCATCCCACCCATTGATCCCATCCCGTGGATCCCGTGGATCCCCCCGCAGGAGGAGCGGCCGTGTCCCGGGGCCGGTGCAGCCGCCCGTGGTTCCCGCAGGGAAGTTCCCGAGCGGCTCCTGCAGCTCCTCCCCACTGCCCCTCCGGTACGGGGCTGGGTTTGGGGCAAATAACGGGGGTTTTGGGGGTTTGCAGCCCCTGGGCCGCGAGTTTGGGGCAAATAACGGGGGTTTTGGGGGTTTGCTGCCCCTGGGCCCGGGTTTGGGGCAAATACGGGGTTTTGGGGTCTGCTGCCCCCGGGGCTCATGTCCAGAGCAAGGGCGTCCCTTAGGGAGAGGGGAGATGGTGGGGAAAGGTGGGAAAGAAATGGTGGGAAATGAAAGAAATGGTGGGAAATAAATTATAGGAAATGGTGGGAAATCATGGGAAACGGTGGGAAATAAATGACGGGAAATGGTGGGAAAGAAATAGTGGGAAATGGTGGGAAATAATGGTGGGAAATGGTGGGAAATGGTGGGAAATGGTGGGAAATTATGGGAAATAAATTATGGGAAATGGTGGGAAGTGGTGGGAAAATTATGAGAAATGGTGGGAAATGAATGATGGGAAAAGGTGGGAAATCAGTGATGGGAAATGGTGGGAAAGAGGGCACGAGGTGGGAGGAACTGGGGCACCATTTGGGTGGGGAAGGCCGTGCACAGCTGCAGAGCCTCGTGCCACACGGTGCCACCTCGTCCTGGCACGGGACAGTGTCTGGGACAGAGCCAGCCCCGCTGTGACACGGCTGCTCCTCACCCACAGCTCCAGCGGCGCCCCGGCAGCTCCTGGGGACGGAATTCCTGCCCCGCCACCCCTGCCAGGGACACCCCTGCTGGCACCGTCCCCTCCAGGGCCTGCCGCTGCCATCCCAGCCCCGCCACCGCTGCCCGGGGACCTGCTGCCACCGCTGCCCGGGGACCTGCTGCCACCCCACCCCGGGGACCTGCTGCCACCCCACCCTGGGGACCTGCTGCCACCCATCCCCAGGGACCTGCTGCCACCCCACCCAAGGGACCTGCTGCCACCCCACCCCGGGGACCTGCTGCCACCCCACACAAGGGACCTGCTGCCACCCATCCCCAGGGACCTGCTGCCACCCCACACAAGGGACCTGCTGCCACCTGTACCCGGGGACCTGCTGCCACCCCACCCAAGGGACCTGCTGCCACCCATCCCCAGGGACCTGCTGCCACCCCACCCCGGGGACCTGCCCGTGTCCCCAGCAGAGCTCCTGTCCCCAGGTGAGTGCTCAGTGCTCCGGAGGGGTGACAGGGACACTGTGACCTGTCCCCATCCGTCCTGGGGGGTGGGAGCCCCTTCATCCCTCACCCCTCCCGCAGCCCCCGGTGGCCCCGAGCCGCTGCCGCCACCCCCGGCTGTGCCTGACTTTGGGGACCTGGACCTGCCACCGCCACCAGACGGGGAGGAGCCTCCGTGGGCACCAGAGAGCTGCCTGGAGAAAGGTACAGAATATCCTAAAATCCCTGGAGAAAGGTGCAGAATATCCTAAAACCCTGGAGAAAGGTACAGAATATCCTAAACCCCTAAAGAGAGGTGCAGAATATCCTAAAATCCCTAAAGAGAGGTACAGAATATCCTAAACCCCTGGAGAAAGGGACAGAATATCCTAAACCCCTGGAGAAAGGTACAGAATATCCAAAAACCCCTAAAGAGAGGTACAGAATATCCTCAACCCCTGGAGAAAGGTACAGAATATCCAAAAACCCTGGAGAGAGGTACAGAATATCCCAAATCCCTGGAGAAAGGTGCAGAATATCCCAAACCCCTGGAGAAAGGTGCAGACAGCTGGGAATGTGGCAGGGTGGGAGCTGATCCCGGGGGCAGTCCTGGATCCCAGCTCTGGATCCCACCTCTGAATCCCAGCTCTGGATCCCTGCCCTGGATCCCAGCTCTGAAGCTCAGTCCTGGACCCCTGCCCTGGATCCCAGTCCTGAATTCCAGTCCTGGATCCCAGCCCAGAACGGGACCCTGGGCACGGAGCAGAGCTGCTGTCCCCGTGGGCTCCAGAGATGGTCCAACCCCAAACCCCACCCCAAATCATCCCCCTGACCCCACCGTGCCGCTCCAACCCCATCCCCCAGCCCCCAGGACAGACCCCAGCCAGGCCCTGTCCCCATCCCGGCCCTGTCCCCATCCCAGTCCTGTCCCCATCCCGCTCTGTCCCCATCCCGGCCCTGTCCCCATCCCGGCTCTGTCCCCATCCCGGCCCTGTCCCCGGATCTGTCCCCATCCCGGCCCTGTCCCCATCCCAGATCTGTCCCCATCCCGGCTGTGTCCCCATCCCGGCTCTGTCCCCATCCCGGCCCTGTCCCCATCCCGGATCTCTCCCCATCCCGGATCTGTCCCCATCCCGCTCTGTCCCCATCCCGGATCTCTCCCCATCCCGGATCTGTCCCCATCCCGCTCTGTCCCCATCCCGGATCTCTCCCCATCCCGGATCTGTCCCCATCCCGGCCCTGTCCCCATCCCGGATCTGTCCCCATCCCGGATCTGTCCCCATCCCGGCGCTGTCCCCATTTCAGATCTGTCCCCATCCCGGCGCTGTCCCCATCCCGGCTCTGTCCCCATCCCGCTCTGTCCCCATCCCGGCTCTGTCCCCATCCCGGCTCTGTCCCCATCCCGGCTCTGTCCCCATCCCGGATCTGTCCCCATCCCGGATCTGTCCCCATCCCGGCTCTGTCCCCATCCCAGATCTGTCCCCATCCCGCTCTGTCCCCGCTCTGTCCCCAACACAGCCGCTCTGCCTCCCCACGCGGGTTCGTGTCTTTATTTCCATGGCTTTGAGTTCCACACAGTCCGAGAGGAGGAGGAGGAGGAGGAGGAAGGACGAGCTGGCACGGGGGGGGGACAGCTCAGCGCTGCTTTGGTTATTTCCTGCGGGCTTTGGGGTTTGGGGTTTGGGGGTTCGGGGGTCAGGGCCGCCCTTAAGGCTGTGGACAAACCCGGGTAAACCCGGGCTAAATCCAGGAGGAGCCAAGCCCGGAGAGCAGCGGGCCCTGGAGGTGCCCCCTGCAGAGTGCAATTAGAAGGGGTAATTAATATAATTAATACTGCGGTGGGGAGGGGCACACGGGTGAGGGGGGTTTGGCCTTTGGGGACCCGGTGCCAGGAGTGTCCCCGGGGGGATCGTGGCACCGGCAGTGCCCAGGACAGGGGGAATTCCCTGGGAATGGAGGGGCCACACGATCCAGGGAACGGCTGGGGCAGGGAGAGACACGGGACAGCCCCGGGACAGCGCGGGGACACGGCGGGGACAGCCCCGGGACAGCCCCGGGACAGCCCCGGGACAGCGCGGGGACAGCCCAGGGACAGCCCAGGGACATCCCGGGACAGCGCGGGGACAGCCCGGGGACAGCCCGGGGAGAGCCCGGGGACAGCCCCGGGACAAGCCGGGGACATCCCGGGACAGCGCGGGGAGAGCCCGGGGACATCGCGGGGACAGCCCAGGGACAGCACGGGGATCAGCCAGAATGCCCGGTGGGATCAGGAGAGTAGGGATTTCCCAGATGGAATTCCTGGTGGGATCAGGAGAGCAGAGATTTCCCAGACAGAATTCCCAGTGGAATCACGAGAGCAGGGATTTTCCAGCCAGAATTCCCAGTGGAATCAGGGGAGCAGAGATTTTCCCACCCGGAATTCCCAGTGGAATCAGGGGAGCAGAGATTTCCCAGTCGGAATTCCCGGTGGGATCGGGACCCAGGGAACAGGGATCTCCCAGTTGGAGCAGGGATCTCCCAGCAGGAGCAGGGATCCCCCAGCAGGAGCAGGGATCTCCCAGTGGGATCAGGGTCCCAGGGAGCAGGGATCTCCCAGCAGGAGCAGGGATCTCCCAGCAGGAGCAGGGATCCCCCAGCCGGAATTCCCAGGGCCAGGCATGCCAGGAGGAGGATGGCAGGAGCAGGGACGTGCCCAGCCCACGGGGGGCGAGCCGGCTGCTGGATTTTTGGGAATTCTGAGAGAAAAGTGCCCTGGAAATCCCCATCAGGTTGGCCAAGGGCAGGGCCAGGGGCCAGCAGAAAATGCTTCGGTGGCCAAGAACGGAGCCGGGCAGGGCAGAGATGCCCCGGGAGCGGAGCCGGGCTGGGCCAGGGGCCAGCAGAAAATGCTTCCGTGGCCAAGAACAGAGCCGGGCAGGGCCAGGGGCCAGCAGAACGTGCTCGGTGGCCAGGAATGAGCCGGGCAGGGCAGAGAGCGCCCCGGGAGCGGAGCCGGGCTGGGCCAGGGGCCAGCAGAAGGTGCTTTGGTGGCCAGGAATGAGCCGGGCAGGGCAGAGAGCGCCCCGGGAGCGGAGCTGAGCAGGGCAGAAGCGCCCCGGGAGCGTGGCTGAGCCATCACCCCCTCAGCACTCCCCGCGGAGCAGCTCCTGCAGGTACCGCACCACCTCCACCGCCGACTCCCAGGGCACCACGGCGGCCCGGAAAGCGCCGGGCTGCTTCTCCTGGCTCTCCTGGATCAGCCGGTGCATGGGGAAGCCCTTCCTGGGGAAGGCCACGTCCGCCGCCCGCAGGGTCCCGGCGGGGCAGAAGTCGTTGGCGCCGTCGCCCACGTACAGAACCCTCCGGAACTCCGCGCCCTCGCGCGCCCGCTCCGCCAGGTACTCGCCGAGGATCTTGCCCTTGCACATGTTGGGCGGGCAGCGCGGGCACCGGTGGCTGTGGTAGGGCCCCAGCGTGAGGATGCCATGGCTGTCGAAGCCGGCCGGGTTGCTGAAGACCTTTCGGAAGAGCGACCAGGCGCCGGCCACCCGCAGCTTGGCCTCGACGCCGAAGGTGTTGGCGTCGGAGATGAGCACCAGCTCGAAGCGCGGGCGGTGCTTGGACAGGAACTGGAGGAGCTCGGCCACGCCGGGGGCCAGCGGGATGCTCTCGTAGAGCGCGCGCAGCTCGGCGGGGCGCAGGCCCTGCTCGCCCAGGAAGGCCAGCACCCGCCGCATGTGCTCGTTGTAGGATCCCCCTCGAGGGCTCTGCCGCAGCGCCTCGGGCAGCGCCCGGCCCCGCGCCACCGACTCGTCGCTGTTCTCCGCCACGATGGTCTCGTCAAAGTCAAACACCAACAGGAACGGCGGCGGCCGCGCGGCAGCCATGGGCCCGGCCTGCGGGGACGGACGGACAGACAGAGAGACAGAGAGACAGAGAGACAGAGAGACAGAGAGACAGAGAGACAGAGAGACAGAGAGACGCTGCTGTCAGTGGGACAGACAGACCCGGTGTGATTGGGGTGTGGGACAGACAGACACCGCTGTCAGTGGGACAGACAGACCCTCTGTCCCTGTGTGTGGGACAGACAGACACTGCTGTCAGTGGGACAGACCCAGTGTCACTGGGACAGACAGACCCTGCAGACAGAGGGGACAGGGGGACAGAGGGACAGAGGGACAGAGGGACAAAGGGACAGAGGGGACAGAGGGACAGAGGGGACAGAGGGACAGAGATGGGGACAGAGGGACAGAGGGGACAGAGGGACAGAGGGACAGAGGGGACACAGGGACAGGGGGGACACAGCTGGGACAGGGGGGGACAGCCCAGGGGGGTCGGGTGGAATTTTAGGGACGAGTTCCTCCCCTGGGGGATGGAACCGGCACAGCTCCCCAGGGGTGCCCAGGGTGGGGTTTTGGGGTGTCCCGCAGGGCCGGGAGCTGGGCTGGGTGATCTTGGGGGACCCCGGGTGATCCTGGGGGATCTTGGGGGACCCTGGGTGATCTTGGGGGATTCTGGGTGATCCTGGGGGATCCTGGGTGATCCCGGGGTATCCTGGGGGATCCCTGCCAGCTCAGGACATTCCACAACCCCAAAATCGGCCCAGCCTGGCACCCCCTGCTCCCCTCGGCCCTTCCCGGCCGCCCCCGGGTGGAATTTGGGGTCCCCAGGGTGGCACTGACCTTAGGGAGGCATGACAGCCCCAGGGCCGGGCAGCACCTCCTCATGCCCGCAGCATCCCCGCGCCGAGGCCTGCAGGGCACAGAAAAGAGGGAATTCCGTCACTCCCGGGCCTTTTCCATGGATATTCCCGACTTTCGGCAGCTTCTGGTCCGGGCTGGGGGAGCTGCAGGAGAGCAGAGCCCGTGTGAAGCCTCTGATCCCCCCGGATCCCCCGGGAGGGCAGCGAGGGAGCAGCAAAAAAATAAATAAAACAAAAAACTGGGAAGAGCAAAAAACCCTGGGAAGAGAAAAAAACCCTGGGAAGAGCAAAAAACCCTGGAAAAAAAGAACGGGAACAACAACGACAACAACAAAAACCAAAAACAAAACCAAAAACCAACAAAAAAAAAAAGTGAGAACAGCAAAAATAAAAAAAGGAAATAGCAAAAAAACTGGGAATGGCAAAAAAAAAAAAGTGAATAGTAAAAAACCTGGGAAAAGGAAAACAAATGGGAATAGCAAAAAAAACGGGAATAGAAAAAAAAAGGGAACAGCAAAAAACCTGGAACAGGAAAAAAATGGGAATAGCAAAAAAAAACCCCAAACCCCTGGATTTTCCTCCAGCATAATTAACTCGGGGTGTTCCTTTGGATGGAGAGATTCCCTTGGGATGACACCGAGCGGAATTCTGCCGAAACCTCCCCAAAAATCAGCGAGGCCGCTGGAAATTCGGGAATTCGGGAATTCCCGCTGGGAATTGGAGCCGGGGCCGGGATTTGGCAGCGGCAGCAGGAGGGGTCCGGGACTGGGGGGGATTTGTGGGGTTTGGATGGATCCGAGCCCGGTCCCGACTATTTTGGGCACGAAAAACCCGCGGCTGCGGCGGCACCTGGCCCGGGGTAGGACCGGGCTGGAAATGTTGGAAAAATCCCTTTTTTTGTGAGGCTGGAACCGCACTCTGGGTGTTGCTTTGCTAAAAAAAGCCCAGCAGAAATTGAGGGTTTATTTACAGACAGAATCCGGAGCCAAACAACGCCGCAGCCGGGCTGGGAGCGGCTTCCAGAGCGGGAGAGATGGAAAAAAATAGGGATTAAACAGGAAAGGGGAACTGGCAGCAGCGAGGAAATAATTTGGGATGAAGCCTCAGGGAGAGTTTGTGGTGCTGGGGGGGCCGGGGGACACCGGGGACACCGGAGCCGTGGGGGCACCGGGCACGGGGGGTGAAACTGCCCCAAAAACTGCTCCAAATCCCTGGAAAAGTCATCCCGAGCCTCCCTGGCCCGGCGGGACGGATCCCTCGGGATTTCTGGGGGAAACGCTGATCCCGGGACCAGCGGGACAATCCCGGCCCCGTGTCCCCGCAGGAGCTCGGAGCATCCCCGAGGTGCGGCTGCAAGAGATGCTCACCCCAAAACTGCCCCAAAATTGTCCCAAACCTGCCCCCAAAAAGGCTCCAAACCCGCCCCCAAACTGCCCCAAACCTGCCCCAAAAATGGCTCCAAACCCGCCCCAAAATTGTCCCAAACCCGCCCCAAAACTGTCCCAAAGCCGCCCCAAAACTGCCCCAAACCCGCCCCAAAACTGCCCCAAACCCGCCCCAAAACTGTCCCAAACCCGCCCCAAAACTGCCCCAACCCCGCGATGAACGGGATCACAATGAGCCCCAAACCGGAGCCGGCGTTATTTGGGAATTGGGCCCCTGGCGGGTTATTTCGGGATTTAAATCCTCTGACGGCTCCTGGCATCCCACAAATCCCCAAATCCCCAAATCCTCGGGATATGGGAAAGGAAATCCCACCCCAATAATCCCGAGCTCAGCCAGCCCGGGGGCAGCAATTCCAGCTCCGTCCCTGGTCCCGCTCCCACGGGAGGGGAAATCCCGGGAGCGGATCCCGAATTTTGGTCCCGAATGGGGCAGAGGGAAGGGAAATCCCAGCCCGAGTGGATCCCAAATTTTGGTCCCGAATGGGGCAGAGGGAAGGGAAATCCCGGCCCGAGCGGATCCCGAATTTTGGTGCAGGATCGGGGAGAAGGAAGGGAAATCCCGGCCCGAGTGGATCCCGAATTTTGGTCTGGGATGGGGCAGAGGGAAGGGAAATCCCGGGAGCGGATCCCGAATTTTGGTGCGGGTGGAGCAGCCGGGAGCGGATCCCGCAAATAAATAAAAAAGGTTCCCCCGGGAAGCGAAACAGCCGCAATTCCCCCAAAAAGCGGAGCCGGAGGGACGGAAAATAACGGGATCGTTGCTCGGGAATAAAGGTTTAAACGGGCTGAGGTCTTGGGCTGAGGTCGGAGAGCGCCGGGAAATGCCGGGAATCCTTTCCCGGTACCGGATTTCGGGATTTTGGGGGTCCCTGTCCGCAGAGCCGGGGGAGGAAGGGCCGGATCCCCGAACTCTCCCCGGTACCGGAGAGCGGCGGCAGCGGCGCCCCGGCCCCGGCGCTCTCGGCCGTGCCCGGTTTGGAGCTTTTTAACCCCAAAGTGATTTTGGGTGCGTTAAATATTCGGGATTTTAAGGAACTCAGATCCCAGCTCCGGGGCAGAATTCCCGGGAAACCGAGCGGGGGGAACCCGCTGCCCCGAAAACCGCCAGGGGAGAACCGGGACCGGGACACGCTCCCGCCGCCGCCGCAATGGAACCGGACCCGCTGCCAAGCCCGGCGGCTCCCGAATAGGAGAAAATGCGGGAATTACCGGGAATCCCCGGGAAGGAGCGCTCGGAGCGGTCCCGCCAGCCCCGGGTCCCCTCGAGCCTTCCCGGGCTCCGCTTTCCCGGTGAATTCCCGGTACGGGCGCGGGCAGAGCCTTCCCGGTCACCGCGGGGGACGGGGCTGCTCCGCCGTTTCCCGGGGTTTGTTTTTTCCTGCCGCAGCCCCGGTTCGGCCCCGGAACGCGGCGGTTCGGGGGGTCCAGCCCCGGATCCCGGTTCCCGGTTCCCGCCGCGGCCGTGGCCTCCCGCCCGGTGCCACCGGGCCGCCAGCGGCTGCAGCTCCGGTACCGGCACGGCCCCCGTACCGGCACAGCCCCGGTACCGGCACAGCCCCTCCCCGAGCTCCGCGGCTCCCCCCGGTACCGGCGGGGCTGAATCGCGGCCGCTCCGTGCCCGGGTGGCATCTCCCGGTACCGGCAGCAGCCGCAGCGGTACCGGCAGGATCCAACCGGGTGGGGACGGCCCCGGTACCGGCAGGGTCCAACCGAATCAGGACCCCCCTGTACCGGCAGGGGCTGCCCCGGTACCGGCAGGGTCAAACCGTATCGGCATCCCCGGTACCGGCAGGGGCTGCCCCGGTACCGGCAGGGTCAGACCGTATCGGCATCCCCGGTACCGGCACCATCCGCTCGGCTCCCGGCAGGATCCCGCCGGGTGGAGACCCCCGGTACCGGCACCACCCGATCCCGGCAGGGTCCAAGCAGGGAGAAACCCGCCGGTACCGGCAGCAGCCGCGGCGGATGCGGCATCTCCCGGTACCGCCGCGGTGCCGCCTCTCGCCTCCTTACCGGGTCGGAACCTGCCGGGAGCTCCCGGCCCGCCCCGGTGCCGGAGTGCGCGGGGGCGGCGCGGGGGCAGCCCGGGCTCGGGGCCGCTCCGGGGCCGCTCCGGTGCCGCTCCGGGGCCGCTCCGGGGCCGGTTCGGCGCCGGTGCCGCCGCTGCCGCGAGCGCGGCCCCTTTAAGGCGACGCCACCGGGGCCGCTCGGAGCCGCCGCAGTGCGCCGACGTCATCGCCGCGCAGCCAATGGCGGCGCAGCTTTCCCGCCGCGGAGGGGCGGGGCCAGCGCAGGCCACGCCCCTTTCCGCGGGGCGCGGGTCCCGCCGCCGCCCCCGCCCCGCTCCAAAAGTTCCCAAATCGGGAAAAACCAACAAAAAGCGGCGCTCCCCCCGCCCCCGGTACCCGCTCCGTGTGTGTCACCGCAGCCCTTTGGGGGGGGGTCACCCCCGGAGCCAAGCGCGGCGCCGAGGCTCTGAGAGAGAAAAACGCCCGAATTGTCCCCAAAATAACGGCGGGGACGGGCGGGGACGGGCGGGGGGCCCGGCGCGGCCGCAGCGCTAATTTTGGGACCGGGACGGGCAATTGCAGCGTGGCCGTGCCAGGGCAGCGCCCGCCGGCCCCGCCCGGGCTCCGCCGGTATCGCGGGGCCGCAGCGGCCGCCGAGATAAACCCGCCCGGGCGGGGCCGGGGCCACCGGGACGGGCCCGCGGCTTTTCGCCGCTTTGTCATTAAAAACCTCCCGAGGGGATTCCAAAGGTCGGGAGAGGCCGCGGGGTTCGCTCCCGCCCCGGGCCGGCCGTGCCACGTTGTCCCGGTGCCGCGGGCACAGCCCCGAACTCGGCGTTTTGCTCGTTTTTGGTAAAAATTCTGTCCCGGGACCTGCCCTGGTTCCCCCGACCCCGCGCCACCGGCACCTCCTGGGGAATGCCAGGGAATTCTGCCAGGGAATTCTGCCCGGGAATTCTGTCAGGGAATTCTGTCAGGGAATTCTGTCAGGGAATTCTGTCAGGGAATTCTGCCAGGGAATTCTGCCCGGGAATTCTGCCCGGGAATTCTGCCCGGGAATCCTTTCGGGGGGTTCTTTTATTCCCTCCTCAGCCCGGGGGTCTCCGGCTCCGGGATTCGCTACCCCCGGGACATTTCCCCTCCCTGGAGCCGCTCCAGCCCCGAATCCAAAGGGGGAATTAATTCCCCACGGGCTCCTGCCCCTTCCAGCGGGATCCAGCGGGGCAAAGACCAGCCCGGGATCATCCCGGTTCCATCCCGGATCATCCCGGACCCATCCCGGACCCATCCCGGGCTCATCCCGGACCCATCCCGGACCCATCCCGGACCCATCCCAGATCCATCCCGGACCCATCCCGGTCCCATCCCGGGTTCATCCCGGGCCATCCCAGCCCCGGGAGCTCGGCCGGGACGCTCCCGGTGATTTTCCACTGCGGGGAGCCGCGGGGAGCGGGCGAGGACAGAGCCCGGGGCGGGCGCTGCTGGCAGCACCGGAGCGGCCCCGGGAGCTTTTCCCGGTCCCGGGACCCGCCTGGATCCCCCGGGAGCTTTTCCCGGTCCCGGGACCCGCCTGGATTCCCCCGGGAGCTTTTCCCGGTCCCGGGACCCGCCTGGATCCCCCGGGAGCCTTTTCCCATCCCTTGGACCCGCCTGGATCCCCGGGGGACCCGGGCCAGCCCCGCTGGCTCCAGGTTTGTCCTGGATTTTGGGATCCCCGCGTGTCCCCCCCCGAGTTTTGGGATCCTGGGGCGCGGTGGGGTCAGAGCTCCCGGAGCCCCGCGGGTTGGGAGGGGATTGAGGCTTCCCGGGGGAATTCCTGCGGCTCGGGGACGGATAAGGAGAATTCCAGCTGCAGCCGCTGCCCTCCTGCCGCCACCAAAGCGACTCCAAAATCCATGAATCCAGGATTTCCATTAGAGCAGCACATTCCCGGCGGTTGGAGAAAATTCCGTGATCAATAGGAGCGGAAAAAACTCCGGAACTGGCAAAAAAAAAAGGCAGAAAATTCCGGGACACGTGGAGCGCCCGGGGAATTCCCGAATTCCCCAAATTCCCCCTGCGGAGCTGAGGTTCAGTCAGGGCCCGCCGGGAATCCGAGTTTTCCATGGAATCGTGGAATTGGTGGGGCGGGAGAGGGCTCAAAGCCCACCCAGGGGCGATTCCCACCAGCCCTGGGACATTCCAGGGATGGGGCAGCCGCGGATTCCCCGGGAATCGCATCCCAAAATCCCACCCCGCGCCCGCCCCTTCCCTGCTCTGTCCCCGTTTATCTTCTGCCCCACCAAACCCCGGGAATCGGGAAATTTATGGATTTTATCCCTCGGGAAGAGCTCAGCGCCAGCCCCACATTCCCGGTTTCACTGCTCCGGCCGGGAATGCTCCTCCTCCTCCCCATGGAAAAGGCAGAAACTGGGAATTCTCCTTCTCCCGCCGCTCCTCCAACACCTGGAGCACAGCTGGATCCGGCCGGGAAATTCGGGAGAAATTCGGGAGGAGAAAGAACTGCGGGATCTGCCCGCGGGACCGAGAATTCCCTGGAATGTCCCGGAGCACCCGGGATCGGGAAGGGGACCCGGCTGGATTTAAGGTCCCTTCCCACCGAGGAGGAATTATTTATTTAGGAATCATTTGGGAATTCTTCAGGAACATCGGGATCGTTCCCGAATCCTGGAATGCGCCGGGAGCGATCCCGCAGCTCCACCGCCCCCTCCCGGCTCAGCCTCCCCAAAATGCGGCTCGGGATAAATCCCAAATCCTCGGGAGGAATTCCCGGGAACAGCGCGGAGCTCTGGGGGAGCCGATCCCGGGTTCCACCGAGGGATAAAACGGGGAAAAGCAGCGAAATAAAATGGGGAAAAGCAAAATAAATGGGGGAAAAAAAAATAAATAAATGGGGACAATAAGGGAAAATAAAGTGGGGAAACAAAGCAAAATAAAATAGGGGAAAAGCAGAATAAAACGGGGTGAAAGCAGCAAAATAAAATAGGAAAAGAAAGCAAAATCAAACGGGGAAATAAAGCAGAAGCGACAGGTGCAGAGAGGAGGGAACACCCGCAGAAATCCTTTGGAGTTTCCCATCCCTGTGGAATTCTGTGGCTGCAGCAAAAATGGAAATCGAAGGATTAAGAAACCACAACAAATCCCAGCCTTGGATTTCCTCAGTTTTAAACCAAATTTCCCCTTTTTCCCTATTTTTTTTTATTTTTTTCCCCTTTGGAAAGGATCCCAGCCCGCCCTCCCAGCACCTCACATCACGGCCAGAGCGGGACGAGGGGTTGGAATTTTTAATCTTCTTCCACAGAAAGGAAGTTCATAAATTCTCAGAATGATCCGATACAGAGCGGAGCTGAAGAGCAGGAAAAAAAAACAAAACCCCAAAACCATCCCAGATTCTGGAATTCTCGGAAGAGCCGCCTGGAATGCCGGAGGATTTATTGAGGAGGAAAAAATGGATTTATAAACCCGGAACAGAAATGGTGGATGGTTCATTTTGGGGCTTTTCGGCATTTAAAAATGGGATTATCCCAAATTATCCTGAGGAAATTGTGGCACCACCGGAGGCTGTAGGGGGGGATTGCAGAGAATTCCAGGGAATTTCAGTGGTTGGGAATTCAGGATTGGAATTTTTTCCTGCAAAAGGGGAAGAGGGGGATTAAAATAATCAGGAGGAAATGGTTAAAAAATGGCATTTCTTTCATCGGGAGGGGTTCAGCTCAGCCAAAAATGAGGGATTTGGGCCCAAAACCGCCCCGAAGTTTCCAATGGTATGGAAAACCCAAGTCCAGGATTAGGAAAAGGTGGGGAAAAATCCAGGGAGGAGCAAATTCCAGAGGTTTTCCCCACCCAGCTTTGTCCTGGGGGAGAATTCCGCCTTTTCTGCCTAAAAATGAATCCCAAAACCCAGAGCGGGGCAGAGCTCGGCCTGAGGAGATCTGTGGGATCGGGGCGGGAAAAGGAGGAGAAATTCCCGGGATTCCCCAGGAATTCGGGATAAGGAGGAGGAATTCCCGGAATTCCAGGAATTCCCTGATCCTACTGCCTTTCCCTCTCCCAGAATTCCCTAAATCCGGAGAGCAGCACTGGATTCACCCCTAAATTCACCGATCCCGCTTTTTCCCGGACTTCCCATTCCCAAATTTCCCGAATTTCCAGGACAGAATCTCCCTCCCCAGTAAAATTCCCGTCCATTCATTCCCGGATCCACATCCAGCAGGAATATCTGACCCCAACAGCTGAGGAGAAACTGGGAAAAGGGAAATGAAATTTTAAAAAAAAACACCCCAAAAAAGCCCTAAAAAATAAATTAAATCCAGAAATCGCCGCCGGTTTTGGGGTGATTTTCCAGGGAACTCCGGGTTTTTTTTTCCCTCTCTTCTCCGAAGCACCTTGGAGTGGGGGGGTTGGGGAATTTGGGAAAAGCATCTTTGAGGAATCACATTGGGGCTGATTATAAAAATTTCTCTATTGTACAACAGAGGTGCAGCTACACTGAAAAAATTACACCGTTTATGGAAATACAATTATTATTATTATTATCATCATCATCATCATCATCATCAAGTTTTTTTTTTGGCTTTTTTTTGTTTTAGAAACAGACTCTACTAAATAGGATCTATACAAAAAACCTCTAAAATAATTTCTGTAGTAAAATAAAGAAGTGTGTTAGGAGAGCTACACAAAAACAACGGGAGGGGTTCGGTTTTTTTTTTTACTTTTTTTTTGTTGGTTTTTGTTGGTTTTTTTGGGGTTTTTTTGCTTTTCTGGGTGAACGCTCCGAGCTCGGGGTGCTGAAAGGAATCATTACGTACACAGTGATCATTAATGCTCTGTATTAATTAACTCACAGCCTTTCCCATTAGTACAAAGAGCCCGGGCCCGCTCCTCTTTGAGGAGAGGGCCGGGGAATAAAAGCCAAGCAAACCTCGCCAGCTGATATGAAATTAGAAAATCCACCCGGCTCGCGGCCGCGGCGGAGAAAAGTCACCGGGAAAACACAAATTTGGGGCATTTCGGTCCTGGGGGCTCCTCCAGGGGGGACCCGGGGCTGGGGCAGGGCTCGGGAGCGGGGCGGGGCAGGAGGGGATCCCAGATCGGATCCCGGATCCCAGATCGGATCCCAAAGCTGGGCCCGGATCCCAA